TGATGCATTAGATTTATATTCCTTCTTTCATGCAGGGGCTCAAGGTTGCATATGTAGTACACCTTCCTTGGGTTTTTCCTAACAGTGGTAACACTGGGAGGTAGTTGGATTGAGAATGTATGACTGAGTCTCCCTGGCTGAAGATGGATTAGAATCTAGACTCCTCAGTTTAGTCCAACACCTGAACCACTACCCCAGACATGTTTTCTCTCCCCTCTTCATTTGATTCAAGCAAGCTTCCTAGGTGGTGAATAGTTAAAGGTTGTCCAATCAGTGTTACGACTAAGTAGAGTTTGACACTGAATAAGATAATGGATGTCCTAAGACATACTTGATAGTTATACCTTACTTTTTCTGCACAATGTGGAGTCTTGCACACTTTTTCTTCCAATCCAACAGATTAACCATCAGTTGGATACCACTGAGTAGATGGCTACATTCATACTGTTCATAGCAGTGAAGAAATAGTCTCACGAATGCCACTGGTTGGAGAAGAAGCTTTACAATCTCCCCATCAAAAAAGCATCAGGAAAAATGGAAATAGATTTGATTTATGTCTGTAAACTATGTTAAATTATGTACTGCATATAACACAGTTTACAGATATAAACCCAGTCTTTAACGTAATGAAATACATTTTGTTAAACTTAATTTATTTATTAAATATGCTTAATGTATAAAATTGAACAGCTTTGCTTATTTAGATGATTATAAATTTATTCTTGGAATTTCTTTAAAATATTTTCCCCCTTATAAGTGGAATGATAAGCTGAGGAAATCCAAGATACTGTATGTACCATCTCTTCAGTTCTGCTTTTTTTCAGAAAAATAGGCAAAAAGTTAATGCCAAAAACAAATGAAACTGTGAGATGGTAGTAAAACAAAGTTAATTATTATTATTATTTATCATATTTATCAATATTTATATATTTATACTGAGCTTGTCCTCAAAACGTTTTCAGAAAAACAAAGTTCAGGCAAAATATATATTTTGCCATATTAAATTTATTTCCTGAAATAAACTCTTCTGTCCTTTTGCATGTTGGTTTCCTTCTTGATTTGGTGTGTTTCCAAATACAATCCAATTTATTTTATTTGTCTGTGTATCAATCATACCAAAAGGTCTGTGAAAAACCAGGTTTTCCCCAATCTGCTGCTTTTTTTCCACATCTGTAATCCATGCACATCTGTAAAAAGATTGCTAGCAGTAGAAGAAAGATCCTCTTGAGCAGAATAAATGAGGGGTTGAACATTTTTGTATTTCTCCTTAGAGATGCTAAATGAATCTCTGTGTGATGAACCATTGGTGCAACCTGTCCTTCTCCAGCAGATTTTGTGTCCAGTTAGATGATAGCACCTATCTGGCCTTGGTTGATCTCAAAGAGCTAAGCATCTGGGTTGTACTTATCAGACGTCACAGTTGCAAGCTAGACTGGGAAACTGAATTCTGTCAAGAAACTAGTCACAGCAGATAACCTAACATCTATTGAGATGCATCCTGTTCAGTGTAGAATACAGTATTATTCCATCTGAAAGGTGACATAAGCAGCTTGGGGACTTTTGGATCTGGTACTATTTTTGGAAAACTTCCCCTAGTTTCAGCAGGGTGCCATCTGCCACTGTGATTTGAATTCTCACCACTGCAAGTGCTGTGAATACAGCATAAGTGTTTGGAAAAATCATCCTCTGCAAAATGCAACCATGTTAACAATAGTCTTAGAACAACTTAATCCCAGATTCCTGAGAACTGGAGAACATGATTTTATGAACTAATTTTAGCTGGTGATCAGTCAATAAGCTAGATTGGAAACCTTCATTTGATGCAGGTGATGAAATTCATTTCTATGGATTGGAGTGGTAGTTGATAATCATAGTTATGTTCTCTGCTTGAAACGACGATTGCACTATACATACTGGAGTGAATTTAGGAGCTTGAAGTGAAATGAAAGTTTAAACTCTAAACCATGGCTTTCCTGTTTTGTTGTTTTGTTTTTGTTGTTATTAAGTTCAAACTGCTCTCAGAGTTCTAAACTGTAATTAATATTCATTGTACTTTGGTGGGATATCCATATTGATGAAATGTCACAATTCAAATAGGAAGTGAGATCCTATCCTATGTTTGATTGAATATATCAAAACTGAGTCACCCAAATTTCAGAGAACAACAACATCTATAGCAAGGAATTCTTGGAAAAAAAGTAAGGTCACTTTTAAATTGAGCTGCACTCTTAATAACTTGATGAACACACCCAGGCACTACTATTACCTGCTTTCAGGAGATAGGCTACACTGAAAAAGCCAAGAAAATATCACGGAAGAAGACAGTGACAAACCACTTCCATAACTCTGTCAGTGGATTGACATGTCTGTGAAGTCACCAGGAGCCAACTCCCCTATTAATGATATTTTGTGGCTTTTTAAATCACTAGAGTTAACCTTTTGGTTATATTGCATATAAATCTTAGAATAAATAATGGTATATTTTTCAACCAAATAAGCATGGTTTGATTTCCTTTTTTCTCATATAACCTCTTATACCTTTTTCTCATATAACCTCAGAATTTGATCTGGTTCCCTCCAACCTTCTGACAGGGTTTTGAGAAATTTATATGCAGAAAATATAACTTGTAAAACTGGAAATTGATGAAGTAAGAATGTCCAGCCAACCATGTACTTCAGTTTGCTAAGTGATTGACAATTTCCTGGTTTAGAAAATCTGGGATGAAAACTCTTGGTGGACCACTTATGACACTTGGGCTCAGTATTACAAGTAGTCTCCGGCTTAAGAATGCCTGGGTTACAGATGACCCATAGTTAAGAGCAGAGCTTATTGTAGCAAAATTCGAGTTAAATACACAATGATTCAAGTTCAAGTTCATTACACAGTACTACTTATACAGTATTTTACAATAATACTGTTCAGGCTTACATACAAATTCGACTTAAGGACAGACCTTGGGATGGAACTTATTCTTGAACTGGGGACTATCTGTATAGCTTTTTAAACTTCCAGTGTAGTGTTGTTGTTAAGGTGTTGGACTAAGAGAAGGAAGATCTTAGGTCCAATCCACCCTCAGCCATAGAAACTCATTGAATGTCTTTGGCCTTTCTGTCTCTCAGCCCAACCTGTCTTACAGTGTTGCTGTTGGGATAAAATAACAAGAGATTTCCATGTTGATCACCTTGAGCTCTTGGAAGAAAGGTGGGATAGGAACCTAACAAACAATAGTAAAACTATTGAAAGGTTTCCTACTGCAGTGAGCAGAGGTTGCCCAGTGCTAATTCTAAACTCTATTGTTACTCCCCAAAGCAACCCCATTGCAACTGCCTACCTACAACTCCAGAATGTAGTTTAAAATTAGAAGGAGTCTAATTTTTAAAAAGGCATACACTTTTGTGAGCTATAGCTCGCTATATCAGATGCAGAAAATGTGGCTTGTTAATTTTGTTAAGCATTTCTGTCTCCTGTGAATTATTTTTACATCTGCTAGTTCTGGAAGGAAACAGATGTTCTACAAACCAGACAGACAATGACTCTGCACACATTTTGGAAAAGAACTTTCCCAGCAGGAATGCAGTCCCCCTTTTTTACATACACTTACCCATTGCTTTGTTTCCATACAGCGCAGGCTTGGTTAGAGCAAGTCTGGATAATGTGCCCTGTGTGAGAATTGTCTCTAATCCAAGACAGAATCCTTATGTCAATGAATACTGAACTGAATTTACAGATTGTTTCACTTTAATACTGGTTTCTGAAATGTGCAAATCCTGTGTAACTCTTTGTTGCCTCATTATTTTAGGTATTAGCAGTGGCTACCCTGCAGAAGGAAGACAATGATGGGTGATGCAAGTGAAATGCTGGCTGCAGCTTTGGAACAGATGGATGGCATCATTGCAGGTAGAACATCTATTGCGTTCTTTATCTCTACATTTTATCCCTGGAGGAGAAACCTTATTGTCTAGGGATTGATCAAGTATTGAGAATTCTGTTCAGATAGGAAAGAAATCAAATCAACAGGACAATCTTCAGATGTACACGTCAGCTTACTAGAAGCTCTCAACCTTCACCATCTGCTTCTCAAAGCTACTGGGAATCTGAATTGCCCCTTAGAGGCTGGGAGGGTTTTCCTAATGAGATTGAAATGAGTGCATGTCAAACAGTGGGAGGACTGAAAATAGTAATCTGGACCTAATTGTTACAAGCCAAGAGATTATAGGAGACTTCTGGGGAGAAATGGCAGACTGAAGATGGCTTTGTGAAAAGCAGAGCTGAGGACCATGGTGGAATGAAGAGTGGGTGAGTAGACCAGCTCTTCGACATTCCTCCCTGGACAAAGAGAGGACCTGAGATTGCCCGCAAGTGCTCCAAACACCTGCTTCTCTCGAGGAGACCCAAGATAGCAGTCTTCAGCGGGTTTAGAGCTCTGGGAGGCGAGGGAATAGTCATCTTACTCAAACTGTGGTGAGCCCCTTTCTAATCACGTTCAGAAATTGCTTGTTAATGCCTTTCAGCTATTAGGAACCTTTGGATCAACATGCTTTACAGCACTGGGTGAATTTCCTTCAATCCTTAGCGAAAGTTTTAACTACAAGTTTAAGAACTTAAAAAAAAAATGGGGGGGGAATAAACAAAGAAAGCGTGATTAAAACTTTGATTTTAGAACGTTACAAACAGACTAAGGGTCCAGATAAATTTGAAATAATATTTTGGAATCAATTATAAAGAACCCTTCTCGTAGGAAAATGCTTTTGTTTTGATTTTTTTTAAAAAATAAAACTTTAAAAATTGGACAGTAGAAGGAATTAGAAGGAACTAAAGATTACAATTAAAGGAGAAGAACACTCAAACTCAACTTAAAATTAATGAAGCAAAATATTTTAATGTTGGACATATTGAAGGATATTTTTGAACAATGGACCCAGAAGTTAATTTTGATAATGTCTGCCTCTAGAGATAGACTATGTCTAAAAGATGTTATGGAAGAGCAACAAGTTCTACCTGACAAGATCACAACTGAGTTGAAAGTGGATTTAAAAATGACAGCCTACAAGAATGACATGGAAAAAGAAGTTACACTGGACATACAAAATAAACCAGCTGATATCTTAATAATTAAAAGGCATATACAAACAACAAACCAAGAGAGCAACCTGGATAACTTTCCTACATTGGATTTACAAAAGAGACTTGTTAAAGTTTTGAAGAATTTTGTGAGAAGGGACAAAGAAAAAATGAAAAGAAATCAAGTTCTATGACATTATTTGAAGGGACTAAAGATCAAGATTGTTAGAAGTACAGGTAGTCCTCGACTATGACCAGAATTGGGACCAGAATTTGCATTGCTAAGCGATAAGGCTGTAAAGTATGATATCATGTGACTGCATTGCTTAGTGATGGCAATCCCAGGCAGTCCTGGTTGCCGTTGTAACCCCAAAACATGCAGGTTGTTAAGCGGGAAGAGGCAGGAAACCCAAATAAGGAGCATGAGGGCACTGTGGGGGGTGGGGGAAGCCTGGAAGGGCTGGTGCAGGCTGTGCACGAGTTGGGGGAGAGGGTGCTGCAGTGTGGTGCGAGCTCAGGAGGGCTCAGGAGGCCATCTTCCCCAGGTCTTGCGAGGACTGTTGAAGAAAGCCTTGTGTGGCCAGCAGCTCCTCACGAAGGGCCAGGTCAGGCATGCTTGGTCAGCAGCGGGAGCAGGAAGATGGTTTATTTGATCAAGGCTAAAATAGATATGCTGTTATCTCTGGTAACCCTTAATGGACTTTTGCTGATCAGGACTGAAATGATGAGGTTTTGTGGATTTGTTTATAAATAAGAGATGAAATATGGGATGAAGAGATCATTTGTTGTATTTTAAGAGAAGGTGATAGGTTACTAAAATTGTTTCTACTTGTGATGAAGATGGGAAGTCACTTTATATATTTTCTTTTCTTTTTCTTTACCGTGTTCTTATTTTTTCTTTCTTTTCTATTTCTATTTCTATTTCTCTTTTTTCATTTTTTTCTTTCTTTTCTGCACCTTCTATTTTTTCTTTTTATTCTTTTAGTTTTTTTTCAGTTTGTATTAGTTTTTACTGTTGTAATTATAATTCTTAATAAAATTACTATTAAAAAAAACCCCAAACAACCCCAAGCCAATAGATTATAGTACAATTATCTGGCAGGGGAACACGCCAGAAGTTATGCTGCTGAATTAGTTCTTTACAGTCAAGAAAGTTTCATTGAAACAATAAATAAAAATAGACAAAGACTAGGTTAGATGTTAATTCATTTATCTGCTAAGCTACTTTTCTGTGCAGAGAGAATGATGTTTGTAAATGCTCTGAATAGAATTCTGTTTTGGTATCTAGTTTTTTTCCACCCCCCCTCCTTTCCCCAGCTGTCTCAAATGGCAATTTTTTCAGCAGTTTAGGAGAAAAAACTTTGGCCTGTGCTCTATCTGCTGCAGTTCTGAAAGACACAACCACAAAAGGGGAATTCTGGCCAATCTTAGTAATGTTTTGGTGTGATCTCTTGCCAAGTGAAGCTGTGCAAACAGCTATTTAAGCTAGATAAGTCTTCTGAGTGGGTGCAGAAAAGGGACAGTTTGTTCCAGATTTCTTATTTTCTCTTGCAGAATACTTCCATCCATGGAAAATGCTTCCTCTCACCCTCTTACGTGTCTCAGTGATGTCAGCTTCACTTCATAAATTGTAAATCATTTGTTCAGCAGATGTGGAACATCACTGCTTTTTCTACAGTAGCATTTCTGTCACTGCAAGGGATATCATTTCCAGGCTAATAAAGGCGATTAAGCACCTAACAGCAATCTCCAAAGTCTTACCTAAAGATTAAAATAAAATCCATTGTCACATTTATGGTACTTCTGCTGTTAGAATACTTTAACTTGTATGGCTTTAAGAAAAGTATGACAGCTTTACCTTCAATGACATTACCAGGACTATTAGCTTTTCTAATGAGATCTTCATATTCAGTGAAAAAGTACCTCTGAATGAGCAGTTATTACAGTATGGAAAATGAGGGAGGTGTTTTCATTTCATGCGCTATTGGTGAGCCTTGCAGAGGCCTCTGGCTAGCCCCCAAACCAGAATGGGTCCAGATTTTGTCCGACAGAGAATTTCTTAAGTTTATTACGTCTATGAAAGCATAGCCCAGCCTTGTATATATAGCTCAGCAAGTATTTAACTTGTCAGTGTGTGGTTTTGCAACCTGCTGGGGTGTCTGCAGATAGGAGATGAAGAATTCCTGACCCTGTAGCTCCATGAAGGGTCTTTCCTTTATTTGCAGTATTCTTGATGGTATGATAAGATCCTATACTGTCACCTTTGTATCAGGCAATTCAGGGAGCGTTGTTTGTTTGCTTATTTATCACAGTTGTCTCTACGTTGTCCTCATTTATTTATTTATTTATTTATTTATTTATCTATCAGGCTTATGGGCTGCTCCAGTCATCAGACTCTGAGCAGCGTACAATTCCCCGAATCCATGATTTGAGTTAAAACAATGCATAACAGTAGAATTAAACCCCAAAATGTGCACTGGGAACCAAATGTTTCCATCCCCCACCCCATGCAATTAGAATGGTTGCTCATCAAGTGGGGAGGGGATTGCAAGATTTGTGGAGGGAGAGAGGTTTACAGCATACATTCAAAATATAATATGCAACTAAACAAGCTAAGCAAAATAAGCAAACCCTCCAAATTGCAACCCAGAAGGCACAGCTATCTTTTAAAAGTCTGCCTAAATAAAATGGTTTTGATGGCCTTGCAGAAGGCCAACCAGGGGGGCAGGTGAAACTCTGGGGCAGAGCATTGGGGCTACCACAGAGAAGGACTCCATCTGACTTTAGATCCCCCATTGCTCAAAAAGTTGGGATCCTAATCAGTGCATTCTTGAGGATTTCATAAGATGCGAAGAATTCTTTTGAAGGAGGCAGACTGACAGATAGCCCATTGCAACCCTGTGTAGAGCTGTATAGGTAATAACCAGCAATTAAATTTGCCTTGGAGGCTTGTGGTTGTCAATGCAGCAACTAAAGAATAGTGGTGACATTGCAAAAGTGAGTCTTGATTGTATTGTCGAAGGCTGAGTCTTGATTGTCAGCAGCCAGGCCACTGTGTCTGTAGAACTCTAGCTTCCAAGTCATCTTCAAGGGCAGTCCACATAGGCGCATCACAGCTGTCCAACCTCATAATGGTAGGACCAGTCGTCCCAGTCACCAGGATTTCATGGTCCAGAAATTCTGTTCCTTCTGCTTCAGCCTTGGCTGCATGCAGTGACTGTCAAAACTAATATACTGGCTGGAAAAACAGCTTTAATAAATGCTCTAAATGATAGCTTTAGAAATGATTCTAAAATAATTAAGAACATGCTATAATACAGTTGCATGCAAAAATGTGGTCAGCCCAGTCAAATTGTATGTTTGAGTGAATCTTTAAAGGAACAAAAGGTGACAGTTGGACTGGAGATGCTATGTTTTTTCATGCAACTGTGTAATAGTGCATTCAGAGATGTTTGTTTTCATGCAGAAGATTATACCACAATATTTATAGCATCACCTGAAGCATGTTTAGTTGTGAACCTCACTGACTTCAGTGAGATTACTCCCGGATAAACGAGCATAAGATTCTAATCTTAAAACGCTAGCTTTGCGTTTGGAAGAATTTTAATTATATTTTGTTGTTGCTCCTTCCGTCAGTGTTTAAATCTTCTATTTCTGTAAGTGTTTTCAGAGCCTGTTTCTCTTCCCTCTTTCTAACAAAGGGACATAAATTTAATAATAAATAAATAAATAAATAAGTAAGTACACCTATGTAATGCAAAACTGCTCTTAGCCATGCTTAGTCTTGGGGGGCCAAAGCAAGAATTCTATAAATAAGAATTTAAAAATCCGAAGACAAACTTGTTCTTCCAGCTTCAAAATTTACCTTCCTCTTGAGGCACCTTAAAGGACAGATATGTTGTGACTTCTGTTTTCAAGAATTAGTAGGTATGCATGCATTTATGATAGCAATAGAGTTTTGTACTGTGTGCGTGCTCACTTTTTAATTTTTTTTTTTATTCTCAGTCAAACACACGTTTGGAGGTCAGGGTAGGGTATTAGCGTGATAGGTAAATATTTATGTTGTTAACCTTGTATGGTACATAATTGGAAGCATCAGGTCTGAGACCATTCACAAGGGCTATTTACATTTGGTTACCTATCCCCTGGGTTTGCTTTCGCTCTCTTTTGCTTTGCGGACATCAAAAGAGCATCTGCTTGCAAAAACCTCTTTCAAAAGCTAGAACTTGGGGGTGTTGTCTGTGCTATTCTTCTACCCTCCCTTTGTATGAATATTTAAAAGGCTCTCTTAATTGGCTTCTCATCCATATCGTATGCTGTAGTGTAGAAAATGTGTTTACATATAATAATAATAATAATAATAATAATAATTAAATTTGTTTGCCACCCAACTTCCAGTGACTCTGGGCGGCTTGCAACAGTCAAGCAAAGAAATTACAATAAAATTAATGAAAGATAAAAGATGGCAAGAGTGACAGACCAGGTGGAATGAAGCCAGGGTCTCGCTCTTCGTCACCAAAGGCCTGGGTAAAGACCAGGTCTTCACGGCTCTTCTGAACAACAACAGAGTGGGAGGCATCTGGATCTCAGAACTTCATTCCAGAGGGCAGGTGCTGCTACAGAGAAGGTGTGTTTCTGGGGTTCTGATAGATGACATTGTTTAATCAAAGGAACCCAGAGTGCGCCAACCGAGAAGGATCAAAGTGGCCTGGTAGATACTGTGGGAAACAGGTGACCCCTCGAGTAATCAGGCCCTATGCTTTGAGTTGGTTTTGTTCTGCTTCTTTCTCTACTCTGTCTTCTCTCTCTAAATCCTCTTACTCAGGATTTTCCTTTCTGTGTAACCAGACTTTCTTATTCTGAGCCATTTTAGGTAACTTCAACATTTTGGTGCCTTTTGGATCCTTCTTATCTGAAATGCTTATGCATTTACAAATCGAAAACTTATGTTAGCTCTCCCCCACCCTTGGTTGTAGATCTTACCTAGTTGTTCAAAAACAGAAAGCAGAGTTTGTGTAGTTAAAGGGCATTGTTCAGCTGTAAATTCAGTTAACTTACAATCCCTTGTAATTTCTCTGGGTTGGATCTCAGGTTCAACTTATTTGCTTTATTTATGTTGTAGCCCCATGGCATTTACATTCATCTTGCTCTTTTAGTAAATGTAATTCCTCATACTTGTTCAGTAGTAGTACTTTTAAAGCATTTTGAGTACTTTGGATATAAGCTAGTTGTCTAGTTTCAGTTGTTTTGACAGCCTGTCTGATGATTATCCAGAGCTTATCCTACCCCATTTTTTAGATATCCTTTTTTATTTTCCATCCCTCAATTCCATCATTTGTTGCTTTCTTATCAGATCGAAGGACAGCACAAGTTGTAAAGTTTTGATAGCAAGGTAATACAAATAAAAGAAATTCCCAGTTAAAATAGTAGGTTAGCATGGAGTTCAGTCTGTGTCCCATTAGTCTCCTTGTGTCCCCGGAGCCAACTAGTCATTGAAAACTCCATAAATAAATTAGAATATCACTCGTGCATCTGACTTGTTAAAGTTAAATATGTCTGTTTTTCTGGAACTCCAATCCTTTGGTCTTACAGCAAGTCTTCCCATTCTAGCTCCTGTTTTCTTATCCTCTATCTTCATCCTTACTATTTTCTTAAGATAGAACTGATGTTAAACCTGTTTAATGTTCTTATTCTCACACTTGTCCTCTAGGGTCCAAAGCACTGGAATATTCCAATGGCTTATTTGATTGCCAGTCCCCAACTTCTCCATTTATGGGAAGTTTGCGCGTTCTGCATCTTGTGGAAGACTTGCGGGGTTTGTTGGAAATGATGGAAATGGATGAAAAAGAAGGACTGCGGTGCCAGGTTCCTGATTCGACAGCAGAGGTTTTGATTGAATGGCTGCAAAATCAAATGGTAGGACAAATGTACTGATTATTTTCCATTGTGGGAAAAAAGTGATGGGCAGTTCCTAGGATTTTTAACGTACTTTAACATGTTTGTCAAAATCCTATGCTGTTATAATGCAATTTCATTTGACTCTTTTACAGGGTTTTGCATTTCACTATTACTTTATTTGTGATAAGAAAGTGGTATCTTTTCCAGTGAGTTGGAAAAATGTGTTGTCATTGTTCTTTTGAAAATGATTATATATATAACCGTTTTCAGAATAACAATAACAATGCACATATATATCCATCGTCTGAAGATACGAATCGTTGGCCCCAGACAGAACATTTCATGCCAGTTCTGATCCAGGTGTTTGAATCTGCCTTCCTGCTATATTACTTTAAATGTCACATTTTACAAAAGGAGAGGAAAATTATTTCCGAGCTTGAAATAGTTCAAATTTGAAATGTTTTGACACTTATATTCCATCCATAGGTTCGAGATTTCTGAGTACCGTTGAATGTGCTCTTTTGACCTATAAACACCTATTTAGGTTTATGGGGCATGAATCCAGTTTTGGGACTATTTTCTAATAGAATCTTCCTGCCTCTGTTTCATAAGCCCAGAAAATAATGTTTCGGGTCCTCTCAGGATTTAGAGGGTTGAGGATTTGGAAATAGCCTTTCTCTGCAATGGCTCCACTTCTCTGAAATATGTTACCCCTCATGAAGTCTGGATACCCTCCACCTTTTCAAATTCAGGAAGGCAGTGAAGTCACTTATTTTGCCAGAGTTTGAGGTGTCTTTCATGTATTAATTTTTTTTTTTTAATGTGAGCAACACAGAATTTGCAGAATTGGGCAGGTTATTAATTATGCAAATAAATGAATAAAACAAGCGAGCAAATATCCAATGAAAAAGGAGGAAAATATGAAGCCCAGTACGTTTCACATGGAATCCCTTTTCAGGAGCATTTATTTGTTCAAGTAAAAGGAATTAGAAGCTGGCATATATAGTGGGGCAAAAAAGTATTTAGTCAGCCACCAATTGTGCAAGTTCTCCCACTTAAAAAGATGAGAGAGGCCTGTAATTTTCATCATAGGTATACCTCAACTATGAGAGACAAAATGAGAAAAAAAATGATTTGCAAATAAATTCTTTAAAAATCAGACAATGTGATTTTCTGGATTTTTTTCCCCATTTTGTCTCTCATAGTTGAGGTATACCTATGATGAAAATATGATTTGCAAATAAATTCTTTAAAAATCAGACAATGTGATTTTCTGGATTTTTTTCCCCATTTTGTCTCTCATAGTTGAGGTATACCTATGATGAAAATATGATTTGCAAATAAATTCTTTAAAAATCAGACAATGTGATTTTCTGGATTTTTTTCCCCATTTTGTCTCTCATAGTTGAGGTATACCTATGATGAAAATATGATTTGCAAATAAATTCTTTAAAAATCAGACAATGTGATTTTCTGGATTTTTTTCCCCATTTTGTCTCTCATAGTTGAGGTATACCTATGATGAAAATATGATTTGCAAATAAATTCTTTAAAAATCAGACAATGTGATTTTCTGGATTTTTTTCCCCATTTTGTCTCTCATAGTTGAGGTATACCTATGATGAAAATATGATTTGCAAATAAATTCTTTAAAAATCAGACAATGTGATTTTCTGGATTTTTTTCCCCATTTTGTCTCTCATAGTTGAGGTATACCTATGATGAAAATTATGATGAAAATTACAGGCCTCTCTCATCTTTTTAAGTGGGAGAACTTGCACAATTGGTGGCTGACTAAATACTTTTTTGCCCCACTGTATGTTTTTCTTAAGCACTGTTAACATCTTTCATCTAGAATTTGGAGCTTTGTTACCTTCTCATGTTGTTTCTCATGTAACTGGCTTTTGATATTAACTTGAGGATGGGTTTGGGATTGCATTGCTTCTTACTAACTTGCAAGCAGCCTCAATTAGCTGTAGCCTTTTAGAATGAATGACCAATTCATTCTAAACTACTTTTGCCCCTTTGTAATCTGTCATGTAGGCTAACGTCCAATCAATATTGTGCAAAGCACTTATGATATTAACATGACATTTTGTGCCATCTAGTTCTTTGTTGGAAGGAAATTTTGGAAAAATATATTTGAGCCCAGTTTGCAGTTCCAGTCTTGTACTGCCCATTCACTAAAATTGGGGGTGGGTGGGTCAGTTTGCTTATCAGTAGTTCGTTGAGAAGCTGTAGGCAGTCCTGTGTAATGTTATTGAGAAAGGCAACAAAAAATGTGGTAGGTTGTCTTTTCTAATTGTGGCACTGCAGATACTTCATAAGAAGCTCGATTTAAAGTGGTCCAAAGATGCCACCTATTGGAACATAAGATTATGTGCAGTCTGAATTCTTCAGTGTAGGTCTTAAGTGAAACTTCTCCTAGGGTTCCATGATCATGAAAACATTCTAATGTGGAAAATTATTGTTGAGGCATGGTGCTCCATTGGTGTGCCTAAATAATGAGGATAAAGTTATATTGTCTAATAGCCCTCTTTTCTCAGCCTGTCTGTCAGTGTGAGGCTTATACTCTGTCACTCTGCTCAGTGGTATCCATGGAGGTATCTGTCAAAATCTGCAAGATGGGGGTAAAGCATCATGATCAAAGCCCCCCCTTCTGTGTGTGATGATGTATTGACAAAAGGGGGAATTTTAGTACTGACACTGCACCTCCACCTTGCAGATTTTGACACACCTCCCCATAGACACCCACGACTCTGTGCTGACAAACATTAAAGTGGCATAAATAAGGCTCAGTGTGACAAATTGAAAATTTCCTCTACCAGATCCAGTAATGTCAAGCCATAGAGCTTGTAAGGCTTGTATATGCACCCTGTTTGGATTCATGTTGCTTAGCATAAGTAGCTTCTGTGATTATAAGAATTAAATGATCAAAGTAATAGCCCCATTGGCTATTTTTGTCTTTAAAATTGTTGACCACACTGAAGTTCTTTGATACTTCTATCATGACAGACCTGCCCTGAAGGAACGTAACCTGTGAGTTGGAAAATTGGGTGGCTGTATGCCCACTCTTTAGTGTTGGCTATAAATACACAGAAAAATTGAGACCTTGGAAATTGAAAAGTTTCCTGTTATTTAACACTCCCTTCCCTTTCTTCTTTGTTGTTTCTTATTCCTGGAACTGCTTCCTATTTCTCCATTATAGCACTGCCTCTTTCCTCCCTTCCTTCAGAGCCTGGTGCAAACCCACTTGTCCTTGATGCTTTTGACTTTACCCTTAGTTTTCATCCCCAGCGGAAGTGAAACTAAATTGTGAGTAATTGCATCTGAGTTTATCCTTCTTCCTGGCAAAGTAGCTCCTCTTCCCTTCCTTTCCCTTTTTTTAATTGTTTCCCAAGTCCAAAGTTTAGACCAGCCTTCTCCAGATGAAGATTATCTCTCTTGAGGCTCTTACTTCACAAAAGTCTAGTCCTCAGTACCAGCTCAACAATTTTGGAAAATGATTCATATAGGAATGAAACAAACCTTGAAAGGAGAATTTCCTTTGCAATCGGAGGTATTTTTGTTAAATTTTACTAAACCAAAGTATATTAAATTAGTTCTGTATACCTTAACTGGGGCAGGGATGTTATATAATCTTATTGGAAAGAATGTTTGATTCTTTCCTTGGAAAAATATCTAATCAAGTTATGGGACTAAGCTTTGATGTCCAAAATAACTTCATCTTTTAAAAGTAAATTTGATGCAGAATTCAATTCTAACTGGAAACCATTTTTGAACTCTAACTTAGTACAGTACATGGAGTTGTGCCATATCCCAAATTTAGCCTTTTTGTATGCTTAGAATCTGCATTACAACTTTATGAGAAATCATATTTCTAGTGTGGATCTAATACATCACAGCTTACGATTCTAATTAGGGATTTAGACTATGTTAACCAGGTATTCTTCGTTTAAAGCTTAATAGCAATGTACTTTTTCCTTCAAAAACTGAGACAACGCATTTCATAACTCTATAAAGAACTAAGATTATATTGAAAATCTCCATGCCACTTTAAATTGCATGTTTACGGACTTGTATTTTACAAACTGAATTTTACTATTTTGTTCTCTTTATATATCTTTTATCTTTTGTGGTTTTCATTCTTTACAAAAAAAAACAATTAAGAAAAGTAAACAGAGCAGCCTTTCTCAATATGTTGTGCTATCTTGGGCTACAACGTCTGTTACTCCAAATTATCCTAGCCAGAGAGAAGGCTGGTTTAGATTATAAACTTCCCATAGAAAAGGATCATTTGGATGGTGCTAACTAAAGCAGCTTTCCTTTTAGCAATGTTAACCTAGCGAGTACATAGTTGAAGAAAAATCTAGATGTGAGGCTTGTGGGTGAGGATAAGAGACAGTGTCTCCTATCATGGTCCATTCCTTTGGAACAGCCTTGCTCCTGTAGATTCAGAAGGACGTCTCTCTGCTGGTGTTCAGGAAAGGTGTTTAAGACTTTTAATAGGTAAGAATTGTGGGGTTAGGTTGATCAGTTTGGTATATTCTTTCTATTGAGTTTTTAATTTCAGTATTCTAAACTGGTGGAAGTCATTTTGGAGTATGGTGATATATAAAAGAGTAATCAGAAAATAAAAAGGAGGGGGGAGGATGGTGGATTCTTATCTTACAACTTTTGTGGCACCAAGCTGCCTTTTTCCTTTGTCCTGGTCCTGTAACTGGATTGAGAAGACAGTGTGACAGCAACCCAGTCTTATCATTTCATTTTCCAGATTAATGGACATTTGTCTGCTAACGGAGATGTGTATCAGGAGAGGCTTACACGGCTGGAAAGCGACAAGGAATCTCTTGTGCTGCAAGTGAGTGCTTGATCAACTTGGCACATTCTTCCTGTTTGTGCCTAGTAAAGTTTTGATTCTTGATATGGAGTTTTGTAGCTGTGCTGGCCCATGGCCTTACTTCAACGTTATGTTTGTACCCCCTCCTTAAAACTGTCTTTCTTCAGTGTCCATTGAGAAGCAAATTGTTGTAAGAAAAGGAAAAGGCCGTTGTCCTTGTGAGAGATTTCTCAGAGGGGAAAAAGCAAATACAGCCTAAATTCCCTTCCCCAGATGGCCATGTTTTCTATTTCGGTATCTTTTTAAGAGTTTGTAAAATGTATTTTTAATGGAGGCTTTATTGTATCATAATATAAGAGGGAATGAAAACTTGAACATGGTTGAAGACCAGCAGCTTTAAATATCAGACAGACAAACTTAGAGAAGATAATAAGATAGCAACAACTTTTCAGAATCACATCTTGTATTCACTAATTTCACATCATGCTGGGCTTTACATAGTTGGCTATGTGGTTTGTAATACTTGTGTGTAGTAATACTTTAATAGCAGAAGGGAGACATAAGTCACAATAATGGCTTACAAGTCACATACCACATCTCCTGAAGTAGAATCCTGTGGAGAACATTTTTATCTTTTGTGCCTATTAGTTTTAATATGCATTGATGATGAGTTATTACAGAATAGAATTTCTTAAGCATAAGAATTGCTTCCACTGACAGGAGTTGCCCAGACAAAGTTCTGGTTGTGTGATGCTTTTACTGTGGAAGTGATTTTGTCCAAACCAATTCTTCGCTAGTTATGTTAGCTTCAAAAGAAAGAGGAAGTGGCAGATATCATCTGCTGGTCTTCCTCTGATTCCTTGTTTAGGGTGCAAACACACAAAATAAATAGAAGAGCTAGCATTGTGGAAGAATCAGCATCGACTTTGCAAAACATTCTTCCATTTCATTTGAGACCGTCAATAAATATATGGGAGAGTGGCGATACTTCATGAATTGACAGTTTGACATCTTGTAGGTGTCTATCATCTAATTTTTAAAAAATAGCTTAAACTGGTTTAAATAACTGAATCTTACCTGGAATAACTATGATGTTACAAGATCTAGGTTCTTGCATGGGCCCTCATAAGAGTTTGGTCATTTTAAATAAAATTATTTTGTGTGTGGGTATGCAGCATCTCATGAAATTTGTATCTCTGACAGTGTTGCTGATTCTTGCTGTACTTGATGTTCAAATAGAGTTTGAAAAACTATCTGAGAAGGGTTCCTAAGAAACCTTAGCAAATATAGGTTAACAGGGAATCAGTAACTGGCTAAAGAAAAGGTAGTGGAGGGTGGGAATAAATAGGCTTTGGAGAAAAGAAAGATTTAGGGAGCTGTCTCCCCAAGTTGTTGATTAGAAGAACTTCCAGGGTTGAGCTTTTTAAGTCACATATTGACTGGTGGCTTCCATTACTAGTGGGCCTGTTCTCTCACATAAATAACACTATATATTCCTGTAGTATGGGAATTGTCTAATGTAGTCCTTTTGCACCAAAAAGGAGACCCCAGAAACTATATATTAGAGCAAGGCACGAAGTGCTCAGGCTTGCAGATTGTATCAATTATGAGATGGGCAGTAACGAGTCTTGGATTGATATAAATACCTTCCCAAAAACTTTAAATCAGTGTGCAGTGACTGTGGAAAAAAGCACATTCTGTGCTTGGGGTGCTCCGAGATATAGCAGCACCATTTGTTTTGATTATTATCTTTTTTTACAGGTGAGTGTTCTTACTGACCAAGTGGATGCTCAGGGAGAAAAGATCAGGGATTTGGAATTGTGCTTGGAGGAACACAGAGAGAAGCTGAACGCAACAGAAGAAATGCTACAGCAGGTACTACCAATTCTGTGTCTGTGAGTCTAGGGGTTTGTTTGGGTCAGGTCTCCTCCCTTTTTGACATGCGATGCATTCTTGCCCACTTATCCAGAGACATGCAAATGCCAAGCTCACCTGAGAGAGGGGGGACACCTTCCTGCTCCTGATTGGTTGCTCAGAGGTTGAGTTTCCTGGCTTTTGGTGGTCTCTTCTCACTATCCAGAATGGCAGATTTAGGGATTGATTCAATCTTTCGTATTTGAAACTCACTGGATATTTTCTCCCTCTTCACTACATCTTAGTAAAATGTATTGATCCATTTCTTAATGTCTATTTAAAATGGGAGGTTAGAGTCTTCTAAAGCAGGGTTCCTCAACCTCAGCAACTTTAAGATGGGTGGACTTCAACTCTCAGAATTCCCCATGCTAAAGTAACACCCTAAATCCCTGTCTTTTAATAAAGTAACACCCTAAATCCCTGTCTTTTAATAAAGTAACACCCTAAATCCCTGTCTTTTAATGGCTGGGGAATTCTGGGAGTTGAAGTCCACCCATCTTAAAGTTGCTGAGGTTGAGGAACCCTGTTCTAAAGGTTAAAAAAGAGTTGGAAATATTTATTTAACAACGTTATTTGATTATGGTTGTAGCACAAACCTGGGCATGTTTTGTGTTCTGTAAACAGGATGACCATTTTAAAAGACAGGGATTTAGGGTGTTACTTTAATAGTTGCAAAGAATTGATGGAACAAAAGCACTTTTATTAAATAGTGATTTTGCTACAATAGCTATTTCCAAGCCACTTAAACCTTAAAACATAGAAATCCTGTACCATTTTGTATTTTGTGAGAATAACCATAAACCCCAAACCTCCTCCTTTCCAATTATGAGGTGATTCCCCATGATTAAAGATTGTTTTCAGAAACTTCTTCAGCGGATGGAGTATAGCTTTTTCCTTGATGTTGTTGCCAATCTACATTTGATAGGACTCTCAAAGACACTCCAACTTTCTCCCCCCTCCTTTAAAGCATTCATTCCCTCCTCATTTTTATCAGGAGCTCTTAAGCAGAACATCCCTTGAAACCCAAAAGTTGGACCTTATGGCTGAAGTCTCCAACCTAAAGCTTAAGCTGACCGCTGTGGAAAAGGACAGGCTGGATTGCGAAGACAGGTTCAGAGACGCAGAAGTGAGTCAAATCAGATTCAGCATGGCTAAAACTTTTCTGCCTTAAATTTCTTAACACATAATCTGTGCTTGAAGGTGTTCCTATCTGAAGTGTGTGAGTAATATTTTTGCATCTGGAAGCAGTTAAAGTCATTCAGGCTTGGCACAAGCCATAAGAAACAGAACAGGGCTGCACAACTTGAGAGTCTTAACAAAATTATTTCTATCCACTAATTCTGTATTGTGGTTTTCCAAGTCCTGGTCTAATTCCCTGCTTTGCATTCTCAAGCAGGCTGTAAAAACAGGAGATCTGTTGCTAATGGACTGCAGTCACGTTGGTTATGTCTAAACCACAAAGACCTGGAATGAATGAAAGAATAATATTGCTTTGTTGGAAACTATTACCCTTAACATAAAGAAAAATATCCTTCAGTTTGGCTTTCAACTTAATTTCAAAGTCTGATGCTCTCACTGAAAAGAAATGTTCTAGAGGAACATTCTCATTAGCAAGATGCCATGTCTTACCCTCTGAATTGCTCTGTGAAAAAGAGGAAAATGTTTATGAAGAGAGATCCTGCCTTATGGTTTTGGAGCAATACAACCATGGGCTCTTTATCAAGATACTTCCCATTCTCTATTTGCCCTAGTCTTCTCATCTTACAACGAGGTCTCTGAAATATTTTTTTTCCAGCCCAGGTGCTGAGAAATATAAAAAAGGGGTTAAATTTTATACAGCGGCCTGTGAAGTCAGAGAAAGACATAACCCTGATCCTAGTATTTAAACTCCATAGATTTTAATGCTGAGATACTTTTTTTTTTTTTACTGTCAGGATATTTTATATGTCTTTACACCTGTTTATCTATGTTCTGGTCAACATGAATGGTACCATCTTGAGAAAGGGAATGTTGAGCAAAGAACTCGTGTAAAACTGACCAGTGATATATAGCTTAATAGTTGTGATCTGGTGGCAAAGGTGTATCTGTTCCCCTGACTCAAAGGAAGTCCCCAGTGAGGTGGAATAGTGATGGGGAAAATTGCTACTCAGTGAGAACATGTTACATGTGCTGTAGTACTAAATATTTTTACATACAAGTGAGATCAAGTACAATTAGTATTATTATTTTAATGGCAGCCAGAATTCCTTCCATTATGTCAAGTTGTGGCCACCAAAAATGTCCAAACTATGTGCTAATGCTGTTGTTTTAAAGTTTTGCATGCAGAGGTTTTAAAATCAAACTGTTTCATGATCCTTGTAGGAAATAGCAAGCATATTTTTATTGTCTGAAATCACAGTGAAGCTGGTTTGTTTCTTCATTTCTGTTTGATCTTTCCAAAACCAATACTAAGAGGAAACTTAGGGATCTGCTGGCATGTCTAGGGAAAACAAGAGAGAAATGCTTTGGTCATTTTGAAAAAAGGGGGATTTGATCTGAAGAACTCTGTGCATATTTTTAATACAGCATTTCAGTGAAATTTGACAAAACCTCCAAAAGTTTTGCAGCTTTTAGTTTTTGGCCTATGGTTGCTGTGTGTGAGAAATGTGAGATAAGAAAAAAATTGGAACTTTTTGAATGCTCATATTTTAACTTCACTCATTTCTGAGCTGGTGTTCTCTAATGGTAAGTCCTTCCTTGTTGGAATTAAGATTTGATGAGATTGAGCAGACTTTTACTAGGTAAAATCCAGGTAGGAAATAATACTTCAACCTTGGCTGCTCTTGAAAAGCTAAGTAAGGTCAGATCTGGTTAATACTTGGATGCAAGACAACCAGGAAAACCTGGGACTGTAGGTTAGACTGGGAAGTTGAAAAAAAACTTTTTGAGAAAATGCAGTGGCAAATTACTTCTCTATTTTTGCAAAGAAAACTGCATGGAGGTGTCCATGTTGAAATCAAGATCAATTCAAAAGTTTTTTTTCTTTTTTTTAAAAACCTTCATTTTTATAGGTGACGTTCTTTAGTTTTGACAAGGTAATGCCAGACATGCTCACAGAAGATTCATATGATTTGGTGCATTGTCTGATTATCGTTTAGTAGCAAAATATTAATAATAATCTTTGGGCTCATACTTTTTTCTCATGAAAAATAAGGGTACTTTGGAATCAGTGAAATCACACCACTTCTTACCAGAACTGGTTGTCTTTGATAAATATGGCAATGAGAAGCAGTTCTAAATAGAATCCACATTATCAAAGCATGGAAAAATACTGGTATAGCCTGTAGTAGAATTCTGCAACTTGAAATTCTGTACCACTTGGCCTGGTCAATGATGAGGCAGTAATGACAATGACCTGTGGATAGGATTTGCAAAGGACTTGAAAGTGGCAGTTTGTAAAGTGTGTTGCTGTGAGCAAAGCACCCCTCCTAAGGCATTAAACTGTACTCTGGAAGGCTTCATATATCTCATTTGAAGGCTTTCCCCTGTTGTTCATGCATGCATATGCAAGATCAGGAAATGCTTCTCCTGGGACCACCAGTGAGACAAAATGGCTTTCATGCACACAGAGGTGCAACATCCTTTGAGGCAGCCGCTATGAGTGCCTCAGAGGACATAGCTGCTTTAATACTCTGAAGAGTGGTACTTGGCTTTCAGTGGTGAGTTTGGGGAAGCACTCTTTCCTTGCTGTATAAAGTCTAGGCCATCTGCTTGCTTAGATATTTCCATCTCATTAAACTTCAACCTCTTTCTAAAACTGCCTATATGAAGAAAGGAGAAGAGAGTTCAGGTGGCTTTAGTGCATTTTTCTACTTGTTTTCACTTTCAAACCTTTTTCTTCATTGTTTTATTTTAAAACAGGATTTGATGCAGGAGGTTAATGATTTGCGGTTAAAAGTAGGAGAAATGGACAGGGAAAGACTTCAGTATGAGAAAAAGCTTAAGTCTACCAAAGTAAGTCCATGTAACAGATAAAACCAATCTTCAGCAGTGTATATCTCATTACTTATGTATCTATATTCATGCATCTTTTCTACCTAAGGTTGGTTCATGGATATGGTGGCCAATACATGATTGGCTTAAGCCTGTGTTTAAGCTTGTACATCCAGCTAATGGTTAGCAGCTGTTTCTATGAAGCTGTCTTCATGAATAGGTAGCAATGTTTCTTTCTTCACAACATTGAAGGAAGATTGAGGAGTTGGAGAAGCCTACTTAGACCATCTCCCAGAGATGCTGGTTTCTCTTTCTGTATTTATACACTAGCCCTTTGGGGAGTAATTCACAAAATGAAAGAAAAAGGTATCACACTTGCTAAGAAGAAATTAGTGTGTGTTTCATTTTAAAATGCCTTGTTGTCTTGCTCGTGAAGAAAAAGAAGACAGGGGTTAGATTACCTTCTTTTGGAATATAAGTTAGATGTTACTCGGTAACATGATTCCATTCTAATTGGAAGACCACACTGGAGAGTGATATGAAAGTTAGTTTCCCAGAATTGTTTAGGAAAGGCAAACATTAGAGTCGAGGATCTCTTGGATTTGATACCAGAATCATGCTTTGTGGGTTTAGGAGCACAAACATAGTATCTATCTGCAGTATCTGAAAGCAGCCGTGTCATTTCCCAAACTTGCAATCCCAAACTTTTATGACAACCAAAAGCCAGAGATTGCAGGTATAACTAAAAACAATGTAAAAATAATTGAATAAAAGTAGAGTAATATAGGTAATTGTAATAGTTGATATAAAAAGTATGTTGCAACTGTGGGAAAACGTTCACCAGTTAATGCCTAATTTTCACAGCTGCTGCACAGTATTTAGCTATGATCTCAGTTATAAATTATTTACAGTCTGAAAAAAGGATGAATGTACAGGAATTGTCAGATTGCACTAGGTACTGATATAAAAGAGGCAGGTTATAGGAATGACAAATATCTCTATGGATGGTACAGTAAAATACTACGTGTTGGATTGTTTCAGCATCTCCAGTTCTACACAAGCAAACACATTTCTCAAATGGGATTTTAGAGTATCTTCCTTGTAATAATGCCAAAGGCAAAATATTATGCCTTGCACAAAAGAAAGCTTTCCTTAGTTTGGGGAATGTTTGGAGAAATGGCCGTTTCCCAAAAGCCCTTTGTCACCAAGTCCTATTTCTCCTCCACAAGCTGTTTACCTGTGCCTGAAATTCTATGTCATTAAATTTTTGGAGAAGTGTGAGTTTCTCCAAGGTCATAGCCCAAGGTTCATGGAAACTCTGATGATAATGCACAAGTCATTAGTTTTTGTTCTGTGATGTTGTTCTAGCTTAAGGGGCAATCATCAATCATTATTAATGGAAGTAGGCCCATGGGAAAAGACAAGGCTGCTTTCAGACATTGCAGGCAGGTGCAAGATTCACCTTCCCACGTGGTTCAAAACACTGAAGCTTTGGAGATCAAATCCAGAGCACAGCAAGCTTCTGGTCAATCATATTGCACAGTTAATGTAAGATCTGCTGCTTTATATAATCCGTTTGGTATCCTTTGACATGAATATCTTTCATTGAAGGTCAGCCCTCACTTTGAAAGTTTATCATTATTATTTTTTAGCCTTTTCTCTTCCCCATCTTTACTTCTCTTTCACTCCTCTGTCCCTGTTGCCAGTCTTTAATGGCCAAACTTTCTAGCATGAAAATCAAAGTGGGCCAGATGCAGTATGAAAAACAGCGGATGGAGCAAAAATGCCAAATGTTGAAGGTGTGGTAGATCGGTGGTGCCTGGTTTTTGAATCATTTATTTTCCACAGCTTTTGTGATCCTCTTTACCATCTTGTTTGTCTGTATTTTAAAACATTTTTTTTTGTGCAGTGCATGTATGGATCCCCCCCCCCCATTCCTATGTAAATTCCCCTGATTTATATACCCAACTAAACCAAAATATCTGTTCGTGTTTATTTTGGTTTAGTATAACATAGAAAACCACCAGCTGTTGTTTATAATCTGGTTCTTTCTTGAAATGGGTTCACACATTATGCTGAGCCCAAAACAAACACAATGCTAGGTGTTCTTACTGTGAACAAATATTCCATTTTCGATTTTAGGCTGCATTAACCTGTTATATCTTCACTGCCCAGAATGCTTTTATTAGAGAGAAGGTTCCTTGATTTTTGGCATAGCTGCATAAAAAATTTAAACTGGGTTACCAGATCCCTCTAGCCTTTAAATTTTAATTTTATAAAAAGAGAAGCTAGGAAGTATATATATGTGTGCATGTATGTATCTGTCATCTGTACACACACACACACATAGAGTCCTTGCTGGATTACAGTTCCCTAGGATATTTTGGGGAAGGCCATGACAGCTTAATTGTTATAATATAAAGGAATAACCCGGATACTGTTAAAAACCCAGATAAAAATCCTGTAAAATGCCTAGTTCTCCACCTTGTTAATCTACCTTCACAACTCCTGGAAATTTCCACTTCCCTATTATGGGTGTGCTTGTGACACACTTGTGTGTGTGTGTGTGGGTGAACATGTACGTGAATATACCTTCCAGAAGTTGTACTAAAAAAGGGCAGGGCCAGGAGAAAAAATATTGAGTAACTACTGATTAAAATTAATTTTTGATAAAATCAGGTAACCCCTTTATAAAATTAATTGATCCTCCTTCTGTATATCTCATCTGACCTCTCTCATGTGCACTGACCGCTATTTCATACGCAGCCATGCAAGTATACATACCTTCTTCTGTGATGAGAGGAAAGGGGTGGTTGCCTTGGGAAGGAAAGAGAAAAGGGGGAACCAAAATTGGTGTGGATGAGAGCAAGAAACAACTGAACGGGAAAAAGAAACAAGAGACAGTACAAAAAGGGTTAAATTCACTAGGCAAGCAGTCTCCCCCAACAAGAGGCTGGCAAAAGCTGTGTCATGATGCCAGCTCCACTCCTCTCCTATGTGCATCGCAGCAGCACACACATAAAGGGATGGAGATGGCAGCATGATGTTGCCTTCAGCATTGTGATGAAAGTGACACAATCCTGCAGACACCTTTGTTTACGCGTGATGGCTGTTCTTCAAAGATATCCATGCTTCTTAGCAGCTGCTGTAGCTTCCCACCTAGATGGTTCAACCATGTATTGCTGGCCTGTAATATGATCCTCTCCCTGATTTATAGACAATTATTGGGGGTGGGCAGTCAGCAATAAATCTGATAGTCATTGCAAGCTCCTGTTTGCAATCAGTAAGAATAATGCTGTTCTGTTGGAAATAGATAGGACAGGTGGGAAGCATTTGTCCCAAGCAATGCAGTGCTGAATTGCTGGGAAAGCATGCAGTTATTTCACCACAGTACCCATGGAGGTGATCCCGTATGTATAGTCTGTGTCCTATAGAGATGAAAAGTAATTGTTAGTTAATTGAGATAATATTAATAGCTGCAAAAGGAACCCCGCCCACAGCAATGGGTTTGGGAGAGATTAACATTTGGTTTCAAAGTCTGTCCATGATTTTACAAATTAGTGATGGGCACTTTCCTTAGGATTAGCAAAGTATTCAGCAGTACACTACTCAAATACACAGTGTCAGGGCTGTGCATGCCTTGAAAACAATTTAAAACAAGTGCCCTGGACCTCAGGTGAACACAGAACCTCTCTCCTATTCATGAAAGCAGGCTTCTGGGCAAGTCTGAAATAAGATGTGGCTGCTATTGTAACCCTGAAAGCAACATCGTCTTTTTTTCAGACTTGCAAGGAAGGTTGATGGTCTGCTTTCATGAATAAGGGAGAGCTGATGTGCTTATCTGAGGGTCAAAGCACTTTGGAATCATTTTGAAAATATTGTCAACTGGACTGCATATACATAGACATTTCTGGTATGGGTGAGTTGTATGGTTATTCAATCCCTCACTGTAAATTACATGCCCATTATAGGCTAATGAACTCCTGAACTCATTTAATATTATGGACTTTAAAGTGTCAGTCGTCCATTTGAGTAGGTAAATTTGGCATGGAACTACTTTGGATGTCTAATCAGTGGATGGGGTAAAGAGTCCCAACTGATAGATTCCTTTTTGTGTTGTACGTAAGAATAAACTATTCTTTATCAGTGCCATTCATTTGGGGTTTACTTTTCTATTACTTGAATCTTGCCACTGAAGCACAGCTCTAAACTCTTTGCTTTTATTCTTGCTTTCTTCCTGTGCAGATATTTTGTGATGCTAGATGTTGATTTGGATTTCCTATAAAAAAAATAAACAGAAATTATTTATAGTCTGAACAAGGTATTTATGCTTGCAGGATAACTCCATATACCATCATAGTTAATTCTCCAGTCCATGTCTGTATTTTCCCGATCCATGTGAACAAACATGGAAACACATAATTACATTCCTACTTACACACTATTTGATCTTAAGGGTAAAGCATGTTTTGTGTTATGGAAGATGCAATTGTAAGAACACTCAGTCTGGAGTAACTTCCATTGAAAGCAGTGGGTTTAGGATTGTGCTGTAAGTATTGCATACTTATTGTTGGTGAAAATGTGTCACGCATGTCTAAATGTTAATGAAGATCCTTCTAGTATCACATTTCAGTTCAACCCAGGATATTCCTGAATGTTTAAATCAGAGATGGATTGCTTTTTGGCTAGAAGACAAATTGCTTTTATATTTGTAGTGAAAAACTTCTAATTGTCCAGATTTGATATGATAAAAAAAAATGAAGGCCATCTCTAACTTAAACAGCCAACTTAAGTTGAAGATCGTTCCTTTTAGAACAGAAAACCAAATGGCTGTATTGATTTTTCTGTTTGTCCAGGAAGAACTATCGTCTTTAAAAGAGAAATTAGAACAGAAGGAATCAGAGATAAAACGATTGCAAGAGAAACTGGTCCATCAGGTGAAAGGAGAGATTGACATAAATGACAGAGGTAAGGCAAAATGGTAATTGTCACTGATTGGTACTCTTGGGTTGATTTCCCTTCCCCAACCTGGTCTTCTTCCAACGTATTGACTGTAGAATTCTGGACAGTCCTAACATAGCTAGAAAGTGCCAGGTTGAGGAAGGCTAGCTTCATGTAGAAAGTATAAACTTTGCGCTTCTTGAAGCACAAAAATGTCTGGGATTTCTGGAGATGATAGTCCCAGTCTTTTTGCAGCACACCAGGGTGGGGCAGACACATTTGGCCTGTGATGAATTTCTTGATTGAGGAAAACAAAATTCAGAAGTGGAAAGAATTATTACTTAATAAGTGATAGTGTGCACAAATCCTTCCTTGGTGCTTGGGCATCTGGCTGACTTTGGTTGATCTAGAAAGCTATGCAGGTCTGTCTTGGTTAGTACTTGGATGGGAGACCTCTCAGAAAAACCAAGGGCCTTAGCCTAGATTAGTGTTTCTTAACTTTGGCAACTTTTAAGTTATGTGGACTTCAACTCCCAGGATTTCCCAGCCAGCATGCTGACTGGGGAGTTCTGGGAGTTGAAGTCTAGATAGCTTAAAATTGCTAAGGTTGAGAAACACTGCCCTAGATTGTTATTTTTTTTTTTTTTAAGAAGGCAGAAGCAAATCAATTTTGTATTATGTGTCTCTCTAACTTCCCCCACCCCCCACATGTAAGTCATTAGGAATAGCAACTTTGGACGTTCTTTAAGTGGGTCCAGTTTTGGCTAAACGATATTCTTTAAAAGCATGTCCTATGAAAGATTGAGACGGCATTTACCCATAATTATGAATTAATATCAGCAAGCATGATACCACCCATTATTATGAATTAATATCAGCAAGCATGAGGTAATTTGGTTTAAGATAGCTATTTCTTGATCTTCCTGGAAAACATTTTAGCAAACATACAGCTTTAATAAAGCTAAACAAACATGGACCTATTAAATAAATAGATAGGAGACCACAAGTTTTTATTTATGGTATTGTAAGCTGGTCTTTACTTTGTGAAGATGTGCAAGCTACTAGTATCATAAATAACAACTCATTTATTCAGTGTGTTTAGATCCCATTCAAGTCCTGTGATTCTAGATGGCTTACAAAATTGCAATAATGGTTGCATTTCATCGGGCTCAGAATAAGGAGGATGTGTTTGGTTTTTTAACCTCAGAACTTTCTCAATAATATAAAGAATAGAAATATTTTGAAGGGTTATCATAAAGTCATGATGCAGACCTTTTTCTGTGGTATTGGTGAGTCATGAATAAACAACTGCAGTGTACTTTAGAAGTTAAGCTGTTGAATTAAGATGAAGGAGATCCAAGATCAGGTCAATCTCAGCCATGGAAATTGAGGGGGTGACTTTTTGCCAGTCACGGACTCAGCCCAACTTCACAGGATTGTTGGAACTTGGAGGAACGATGCTAGGTCAACTGCTTTGAGGTTCTAGATTTATATTAGTAAATAAATCTACTCATCAATAAAAATAAATGGTGCACTGCGTATAATTTGACTTTTATTTATGTTGAAAATGCTTTAACGCTTGTAATCTAATTTTAAATCTCATGGGTTTTCCTGCACAGATGACAATTGTAAAAAGAAGCTCAAAGACAAAAGTAAGGTTTTTGGTGTCCTTTCCCAAACACATTTCACACATTTTTTTTTTCCTGGTAGCATTATTTGCATGTATCATTTTAAAACTGTATTAACAAAACACTGACTGCTTCATCTTCATCTTTCATCTCTAGTGTCAGCGGATATCCAAGTAAAACAGGAAAGGAAACCCATATGTTTTAAATGCTGTATTTTCCTTTTAAGGGAAGTGATTGATCTCTAATCCAATGTTCAGCCATTGATTTACAGTTGGGAACACTCTGAGCATTAACTGAATTGATTGAATTGATCTTAGAGCAACAGATATTTTGGTAGATTCCATTATCACAAGTATAATTGATTTTATTTATCACAGTTCAAAGAATATGTTCCAACCTGCATCTGATCATGTCACAACTTGCCCTGGTAGCATCTTTTTTCTACTATTTATTCATGATGTTACCTTCATCCTGAATGTACTGGTTTTAAAGTAGCATCTCCCCCCTTTGTTCCAGGACCATCCAAGGACATTTTTAAGGTGTGTAAAATCAGTTAGGTTTTGTTACTCATTGCTGGGCCAGGGGGTCACCGATGAGTTCAGAACATTTCATTGGTGTAATTTTTTTTCCGTCTCAAGGATGAGCGGAGAGCATTTTAATTCAGTAGTGAAGAAAGGCTTAATACTCTTCATTGGATTTAAATAGAGGGAAGTCTATGGTTTTTCAGATATTACTGCAAGTCTTACTTCAGCACTAGATAAATAAAATCCTGTTGTGGTAATTCTCTTATTTCATTTTTAACCGGAATTGCAAAGCATGATTTGAAGTACATTGGCTATTCTGGTTTGTATGTAAGTGGTAGCATGCCTAATTTTGGTTTAATGCTGAGGGATGATTTGCTCAGCATTAAACCAAAATTGGGCACAGTTGGCAACAAAGAAGCAGGTGAAATGTGATGGGCACAAAAAAGCACAAAATTGGTTTACATAATCAGATCATGTTTGGGGTTACACCTAAGAGAAGCCACAACTGGATTGTGGTCTTGAACTTCAGATTGCATCTGGATTTCATGCCCTGATACCTAGATTTTGTGCAATGGTTTAGCGTAAATCCTGAATTAATTGCAGTTGGCATTTAGAATATTCTTTTGGCCACACTGATACAGTACAGAACAACTCCAGTATACAATTTAGCTGTGACATTTTCTCATATGTGATTACTTCACAATCCGCAATGAGAAGTTCGCTGTAAGTGAAGATAAGGGATGAAGAATAGTTTGTCCATTTCTAGTTCAGCTCTTTTTTGTGAAACTTGCACTGCAACTACGCATATCAGCATGACTTTTTATCACAATAAATATACCCACCTCGTTATCACAAATCTCTCATTTCACAACCGCTTCTAATCGTTTGACACCATCCATTTCTTTTACCATTATTTTTCTGTTACGTTTCTTCAACTGTTCAATTTCCTTTTTTATTTGCATTTGTTTGCGGCTGCTGCTGTTATGAAGAGTCGTCATTATTGCAGACTGCTGGGAATGTTTTAATCTCTGGAGATTTATAACATTAATTGTAGAGGTTGAGCGTTATGTTATATTTTACAGAGTTACAGTTGTGTAGTTGGTAAGAGCGTTGAAAATCAGAAAGTCTTTGGTTCAGATTTTCCATTTCACATTGCTTGGTGTCCTTCAACCATTGTCCCTAACTTAATCTGTCACTCTTATTAGCACTTTGGCTCCACGTTGACTTAAATTTACAAGTTGGATTGCAGTGTCTTTGAGTGCTCTAAATAGTGTAATGGACAATAAGTGTGCAAAGAATGATGGTTATTAATCTTCAGTGAGCATGATCACAATATGTCCTTTGTCCCTTTCTCCATTAAAAACTAATTTGATTTCTTCTTGCTTAAATTTTGGATTTAACTGAAAAGAAGCCATTTGTATTTCTCCTGGTCCATGCTAAAGTGTTTTTCCTTTTACCTTTCCATGCGTATGTAAGCAGTAGCTTTTATCTTTTAGATATTGAGGTGCAGAAGATGAAGAAGGCTGTGGAATCTCTACTGGCAGCAAATGAAGAAAAGGTAGGTATGAATGTATTTTCTGATTTCGATTTGGTGAATAAAAGGAAGGCAGATTGAATTTATGCAGCTGGGGCCCAAGCCTGGTTTAAAAGTGACATTTTTGATCTATCTGCAATTAGTGGAGAACACTGAAGGAGGATATGATATATGATTACTTGCAGGTAAATGTCATTGCCTTGCAAGCAAGAACACTGATAAAGCAGAGTTCCTGGATATGTAGAGACTTTTACTTGAATTCAAGTAAAGGAGATTGGGACATCCCTTCCTCTTCCATCATGCAAGCAAGTTTGCACTTCCTTTGTCACTTAGATTCATTGGACATACATTCCAGATATTAGACCTGAAGAGCACCCTAAATTGTCATTGTTATCCTATGTAAGATAAAACAGCCAATACATTTTCGCAGATGAACATATGGCAGAGTTGACTACAGAATAATAAGTGAGCCTTCATGTAATTTAATGGGGGTAATTCTGCTGGAACTCAGTTTTTAAGACCCTGGATTTTTCAACTCAGCCATTTCACAAGCCGGTGCAATGCTTCAGATTCAACCGCCACATGGTGCTTCAGAGCATGAATGTAGCAGCACCTATTTGTTTCACATTAAATTAGCCACTCCTGGAAAAAGACACAGATGGTTTCAAGTGTCACAGATAGGAGTTGTGTCTGCATTCCTGTGAACTTTGAAGCATCTTTTGGAGACTAAATCTAGAGCGTTGCGCAACTGTACTGCTGAATTATAGCTTTCTTTGTTAAGTGTGTTTTTATTTCTAAATAGGTTTGATATTGTTCATGGTTACCCGAGAAGGAAGTGAGAAGCAGAAAACCTGTTTTAAGTAACTCAAATGGAGGAGTAAAGCAAAGTAACAATTTCTTTGTTTTAGGATCGGAAGATTGAGGACCTTCGGCAGTCCCTCAATCGTTACAAGAAGGTGCAGGACATGGTGATTTTGGCCCAAGTGAAGAAAGGTATAGAATGACATGGGGTATTTGCTAATTGCTCTGTTTACTAGAGCAGCCACAGTCAAAATTAACAGGAGATAGAGATAGATTAAAAAAAAAGGCTACTTCTATAATCTAGGGGTTTTTTTGTTACCAGTTTGCATCTCAGCATAGTGGATAATAATAATTTATTAAATGTATATGTCACCTGGCTCCCAGCAACTCTGGGCAGTTTACAATTGTTAAAACATTTTAAAACAAAGAACAATTGGGAACCCCCCCCCCCACAAAAAACAGCACAGAACAACAGAACAATGATAGCAAAGACAATAAATCCAGAAGGGAACAGTAAGGAAGACAGGGACATCAGTCATCCTCTCCAAAGGCCTGGGTGAAGAGCCAGGTCTTTAAGGCCCTTCAAAATACCAGCAGGGTGGAAGCCATCTGAATCTCAGGGGGAACCTCATTCCAGAGGGCAAGTGCTGCTACAGAGAAGTCGCGCTTCCAGGGCCCTGATAGATAGCATTGTTTAATTGATGGAACCTGGAGCATGCCAATCCTGGGAGATTGAACTGGTTGGGCAGATAATATGGGAAACAAGCGGTCCCTCAAGTAACCAGGCCCTATGCCATGTAAGGTCTATACTGTTAGGTAGCAACCAACACCTTGAATCACACCTGGAAGCAAACTGGCAACCAGTCAACTTGCGAAGCAGAATTGTTACATGGGCATACTGAGGCATGCCCATCACTGCCCACTCTGCTCTTTTCTGGAGCAGCTGAAGTTTCCGGGTGGTCTTCAAGGACAGCCCCATGTAGAGTGCGTTACAGTAGTCAAGCCATGAGGTGACCAGGACATAAGCGACTGTCTGAAGGGTTCCCTGATCTAGGAAAGGGCACAATTGGTGCACCTGATGAAGCTTCCTGGCCATAGCTGCCACTTGCTCATTGAGGAGGAGCTGTGAATCCAGGAAGACCCCCCGAAAAAAATTGTGCACCATCCTTGAATGGGGAAGTGCAACCCCATCCAAGGTCAAAGTGGGATCTGGCAAATGGTATTATAACCAGGGTTTTCTCTGTGCAGCATAAGGACAGATTCATGCTTTGGGACTGAACTTTTAACTTAAAAACACTTGGAACCCATTCCATTGAGTGCAGTTGCAAGTTCATCAATTTCTATAATACAGTGTTGCCCAAACTTGGCCACTTTAAGATGAGTGGACTTCAACTCCCAGAATTCCCCAGCCAGCATCTTAAAGTGACCAAGGTTGGACAACACTGCTATAATAGGATGAAAACCTACTCACAGCTCTATCCCATCAGGTATGAAAGAATGTTGAAGTGCTGAACAGACTGTCTTGTTTCCCACAACCTTTGTAAATCCAGATGCGGTTCTTAATCCAAACCACTTGAATTCAAAGCCACAGGCTATTATGGAGTATATAACTTCCAGTTTTGTAAACTCTGTGTGACAAAGAGCATCACTGATTGGCACAATGGAATTAGCAACTCATTTGGCCACGAAAGAACCAGGGAGTGAGACGGGATAGATTTTTGTAGAGTAGAATGGATGAACGTGGAAATAGTTTTCTCATCCAACTTTGGTTGCAATAATTAATTCCATTCGTCTTTTCCATTTAAGTATGTAGCTCCACTCTTGAATTATTGTTAGTCATCATGGTGACTAATTATTAGTTCAGAGAATGGTGGCAAGACCAAATCATAACTGGGCATTGTACAAATGTGTTAGCTGAACTGTTGAAATGGGTGTTGAAAGGTTAGATTGTATTTGGCCAGAAGAATCCTCAATTCTTAGAACTTAGCATCTTCCATACTATTTAAGATAATTAATGTGAAGTTTCCATTACTAGGCTGCAAAAAGGTGCTTTACCACTTTTTATTTCTAACTTTTCAGAGACCTCTAAAACATTTTAGACTAATAATGCAAGGTAAGAGTAAGCCTTAAGCATGGAGACAATTTGTATCACTCCATGGCTAACTTATTTCTGGGGCTTATTGTGATTCGTATGGTAGAATGGTGTTTTGCTCCTGTATTTCTTCTTTTTGCTGCTTATCTCTACAATGAAATATGTTTTACCATGCTTGGTTAAGTCCCAGTTTGTAGGATTAATTTCTGACTACAGAGGTACCGAACTGTACTATTAGCACACAGTAGAACACAGACATTCCTTTTAGATCAGAACATGTAGCCTAGAATTCAATTCAGCACCCTTCAGCAGTATTTGTTAACAGAGTATCTAGACTAGAAGTCTTTTTTGAACAGAACAATTTTTTAAAAACTCTTCACCTTCACGGATAAGAGCAGCTGTCGGAGTTTTGCTGACTATTTTCAGAGTGACAGTGATCCTAAAAAAGGCATTCAATCTACATATTTCCCATTCTGTACTCTTAGGCAAGGATGATGAAAGTGAAGAAATTGTAAGCCCAGGATCTGTTTCCTCAGCCTTGTTAGAATCACAGAATCTAAATGAAGCTGAGAAAAGTCCATCTTCTACACCGCTTTCAAGTTCTCCAAACCATGAAGAATTGAGAACAAAAAGTTCTGAAGAGGTATTTCATTTTTTCTCCCATTTGCATACTTTCTTAGGCCTTTTGGGAAATGTAATTGGTATCCCAGCCATGGTTATGTTTTTAATGGCTTTTAGGATTTGAAGTTATTGAGATGTTCACTAGGTTAGCGAGTAAACTATTTATATTACCGAATCTAGCAGCAGTGAAGCTTTACCATTAAGCAGTAATATTTAAGATAATTGTAGCATTTGAACCTTAAATCCTTTCTCATGACTTTGTTTTATGCTTCATTTGTTCCTGTACTCTTACCTCAGTCTCTTTTGGTTACGGTCCAGTAAGTTGAAGACCAAGTTGGATTTCAAGCAGGGGAAGTGTGGAGGGACAAAAGCCCACGATTCCACAGTCGTCTGTGGGTTTGGCAAATCATGATTTGCATTGTATAAGTAGTACAAGGCTATCAGCCATTTGTACCTGCCATTCCTTTTGGATGTGGGATTGGGTAACATAGATTGTTTTAGAGAAGGGCTGAAATATTTAGTGGGTGGGTAAAATTAATGGAAAGTCTTCAGTGTTTTAAAAAATGGATAGTTAATTTAGACAGAGGGTATTAACTGCTGATAGAATCTTGGCATCATCTTAGAAAAAGTTTTATGTCTTGCACATAGAAAGAATACTTCTTCCAATGTCTGATGAAACATGATAGGCATCACCTGAAAATAAACGGTGCCTGTATTTTTTTCCAGAGTATTTCTATTGCAAATTATTCTTTGTGTTCATACTATCAGGCTACTGTTGCTTAAATTAAAAAGGTCCTAAAAAGTCTTGTATCCTAGGATACCCAATAAGCTGCATTTGAAATTCAGTTTCAGAATCAAGATGAGATTGTTTAACGTGGATGAGCAATTTAGAAAAAAAAAAAATCACCTTTCTCTGCATATACAAGTGCTTTGTCTAATTTCATTTTTTGATCCTTGCTGCTAATTTTTTCTACTTGTTTATTTTTTTTCCCCCTGGGAATGCTTTTTTAAATCCAGGAATGAATATGGCTTGCAGTGCTGTGGACACAGATCTTCAGATTTAGGACCATTTTAAAAAAGCCTATACTATTGGCTTTAAATTATATAAACATCCTGAAGGAGACAACTTGAATGTTTCAAGCTATTGAGCTTGTATTATGCTCCTGTATTTAGCTAATAAATGGGTATCTGCTGCCTTTTAATGCAAATATGATGTTCTTCTTTTGTAGAATTCCATACAGCTCCATACCAGTGTCTTGCAGGTTTCCATTCCTTCTTTTTCACAGTCATTGAGACATTCAGAAGAAGCTACTGATAAAGGAAACATCCCATCTAAGATGGAAACTGCAAGTGAAAGCAGGTAGGGACACTTTATGCAAAAGCCATCTAGGTTTTTCATGAGGAAATTGAACTCAGTAAATTTGGGATCAGTAGACTTTGCTCATAAAGTGAGGTGTTGGCCAAATAAACAGAGTTATAAGAGTTGTTGGGGCATATAAATAATGGTTGCTATTTCCAGTAACTGCTTCAGTCCTGCAATGTTCATAATTGAAGGAAATGGATGAGCAAGCCAAGGTTGCTGATGATGCCCCATCATTTTTGCATAACTGTGTTTATAATAATCCTGTTGAGCCCTAAACCAAACCCAATGATTTTGATAGCCATGTGTCTTAGGGGGAGAATATGCTGCCAGTGTTTCATCTGAGCAAAACCATCAACAGTTCAAACAGAATTTAGCCAGAGATGAGTACTTTCCCACAATATTTTGTCAAATTCTCTTATTTTCCTAAAAAATCCCTATAGAAATCGTGTTCCAATAAAATACAGATTCCCCTCAGATTTAACTTTACAAGAGCTAGCTCTGATCACATTTATTTTCTTTTTAGAAGGAATAATACCTTATCAGATAAGACAGATTTTTAAGCCTCCCTTTATTTCCTTTTTTTGTAGTGAAAAACACACAGCGGGGGTTTCCATAGAAACACAGCTAAGTGATACAAAAATGTAAGTATCATATGCATATGTAAATCTTGACACATCAGAAACAGAAAACTATTAAAATATTTTATAGAAATGCCTTCATGTTGCTGACAGGGGTGTCCACAGGAAGGGTGGGATCAAAAAGGTGGTTGCCATCTTGACCTTTTTGACACTTCCCTGTGGACACTGCTGGCTCTTTCCATGCTCTTATTTTCTTGCTGCTCTTTTCATTATTCTAGCTTAGCTTTCCTTTCTGTTACAGCATGAAGCGTCTTCAAGCAAGTTGTATAGCACCAGGGATTTATCGAATTTTGTAATATATTCCCAAACAATATCTGGCTAGTTTTTGTGCACAAGCAAAAGCGAGATTGGTTTCTAATGCTCCTAAATTATTAATCAGTACCACTCGTGCTGAACTTAATGAAGTTATTAAATGCTTTGCTGAACTGAGGTGTATATTTTTGTCACAATTTCTAACCCGATAATTATTTTGCAGTGAATACGCGAGACAATATTCTTCTCGCAAGTTTAATAAAATAGGAATGACGGGCTGAGAAGGATATTGAACCAAACAGTGAAATCGGCTTCTTGGCAGCTAGTGATTACTAAAGTATTTCAGTGGGATTTGGTGAAAGCGTTTTGGAAGAAGATAACAGAAATTGAAGTCATAATGTCTTATTTTGGAGAGAGTTTACCAAATTATCTTTCAGTGTATCATGGAGAGAGGGAGACATGCTTTGAAACTGAGATGTTCCTATCCTGGAAATCCTGTTTTGAAACCAGAACAGGATACTCTGATCTTATCAGAAGTCTTCCAACCTTGAAAAAGGATGTTCTGACATTTCTTTCACAGGAAGAACCCCTTTTGATTTTGGACCACTTAAGATAAAATTGGTTTTCTTTTTGGTGTCGTTGAGTCAGTCTTGACTCTTGGACTCTGGACAAGTCCATGCAATTTTATTGGCAACATTTTTTCAGAAGTGGTTTATCCTGTATTCTTTCTAGGGTTGAGAGAGGAGGACTGGTCACCCAGCTGGTTTTGTGCCTAATGCAAGACTAGAATTCACAGTCTTCCGGTTTCTAGCCTAGTGCCTTAAGCACTACGCCAAGCTGGCTCTCAAATTATTTAGGAAAAAGATAAAACATTTACATTAAGCAAAGTGTAATTTCTTTTTTAAAATAACTTTTGCACAGATTTAAATCTAGGAGAATAATCTCTCTCTTTGTTAATACTAAAGCATGGCTTTTTAAAGCAAATTTTCCTTTGGTGCGTAGGCCATGAGTTTAAAAACTAAATCTGAAAACTAAAATGAAACGATAAAATTAAATAAAGAGAGCATGCTCATTGACTGCATGACTGGAATACTGATGAGCTTTTTTTGTTGCATATTGTCATTTAAATCACAAAGAAAAGGCATGCAGTTTGATCTTTTGTACGTCTGGTTTAGACGTGTAGTTTGAAAAGTTGCAGGAGAGAGGAATTTCAGAGGTAATGTGCATTTCCAAAGTTTTCTGTTCTGTCAGCTTGAGGATAATAGATTCAATTATATGATACATCATACTATTGAGAGCGTTTATTGCCTTTGTAATTTGTAGTCCCATAACATCAGTTGATTTTAGAGGGAACTGTGTATCCTCACAAACTATTACATTGGAATTTATCAGATGATTCCTTGCCCTGTTTGATCACTCTCTTCTCATTTAAGCTGGACTAATGTAACCAAGAAATCGCCAAGTGAAATATTCTGGTTGTTGAGCTGTATCTGTGTAGTGGGAATTGGGCAGCTCGTTAACAGTTATATAGGACTTTAAATCCTGACTGATGCTTTGTGTAATCATTATCTTAGAAAAATGTGTTGACAAACCCATGACTCTTTTGTGGATGTGCACATAACACACATATGGGACAAAGTTTTGAGACACTCCATTCCATGTGTTTGCAATTCAAACATGGGTTAAAACAATGGTTTTAAACTTACAGAAAGCATTCTCATGCTGTCCCAGTCATTCTGAAAGTACTTCCAGGCCTGAAACAACAACACAACCAATTTGAAGATTCATTCATCTCTAGTTTCTTGATGCATTCCTTCAAATATTCTAACCAGGTTTTTTCCAATTGGAAAAATCATTAGACTGTTATGGAGCTATATTTTCAAGGAATAATTTGTAGATGTGGAAAACTATTGTGTTTTCTTGAGATACCTGGTTTTCTCCTTCAGTGAGATGTCAGTTGGAGAAATTCCTCAGCTGATAGCTAAGTTTTACATTGTTCATGTTTCTTGCACTCCTGGCTTAAAAGATGATATAATTTATTCTATTTTTTACTTTACTCACTGAATGTGTGAGACACAAGATTCAATTTTTGTTGGCTTATTTTTCTTATAATTGATTCCAGAAGTTCAGCTCTACAAAAATCTAGCAGTCTTGGAAACTTGAAGAAAGAAGCCTCAGATGTGGGTAGTCCTATTTTTTAAAAAATTATTAATGTTTGATCTGCTAATATTGATTCATACTGTTCTTTTCACTCCATAATCTGTATTTCAGGGTTTGAATTGCCTATGAATATTAATTACCTAATAATAATTTATGTGCTGGAAGCTTCTTTTGTGTGATAGGAAATCAGGGCAAGATTAATTCCTCCCACCCACACACACCATGGACATACGTCTGTATGATACATAAAGTCATACTAGCTAGGTTTATTTTGAAAAAAAAATGTAGCTTACAATTTTTTTAAAAAAAGTTTCCATTGTCTGTTTTTTTTAAATAATTGTCTGAAGGCTCTAAACATGATGAAACAGATTGTTTTATATGCTAATCAGGATTTTATTCAATCGAGTATCATAGATGACTTGATCTAAACAAGTTTTAGTTAAAATCAAATGAACAGTTATTCAATGAAATATCAATTTATGTGAAATATTTAATATGTCCAATTCTTCCCAAACAGGATAAAGAGTCCAGAGAGAAGCAAGAAGAGGTAACAGGATAGGCAGACCTGGTTGTTTTGCTTTCTGTTTTTGAAACAATGTCCTCGTTTGTGGTTTCACACCAGTTCACAATGTGTGCAAATGTGCATGCGTTACAAAATTCAGAGAAATGTAAAAACTGAATGAGAATTGTATTGTGGGATGAAAGTACAACTGCAACAGCCTTTTTAAAAATATAAATAATAATAATAATTTTAAAAAAATAGTTGAGGGCAAATGAAGCGTCCTTATGTCCCATTGAAACGAATTAAAATATGCCATAAATCAGATCCTACCATATTTTCCTAGCTAGTTATTTGGCACTGAGCTAGAGTTTCCCATTTCAGAGGTAACAGAGTATGCTAGTGTAAGGCAAGCCAGAGTTGGTAGAGGAAGAGAGCATGCCCATGGTATTCATCCATGGCTCCATATCCTAGACCTTCTTGGACAGCATCCAGATGGAACCACGGACAGTAGTAGCAACTTCTGGGTAAATCTAATCCACTGTTTTGGCAGGCAGATTAAAATTTAATGTACTATACAATGCATCTTATGAATTGTGATTATTTTTTTTTTAATGCCCATAAAAGTTCTTGAGAACTTCAAAATTAAATAAGATCCCTCTTCTTAATAATGACGTTCACATACATGTTGAGCATGCTATCTTAATTTGACGTTTTGTCTTTCTGAATTTAATACATTTGGGTCCAATGATATCACTGAACAATACTGCAAAGTTGACCTTTTCTTTTTTTAACCAATCAGAATAAAGCACCGATGGAGAGTAGCAAATATGGAACTCTTCCTTGCAAGTCTCCGGGCGAAGAAGATGCTTTTGGAACTCGCAAAGCCAGGTCTTCTTTTGGCCGAGGCTTTTTCAAGATCAAAACTAATAAAAGAACAGCAAGTGCACCTAACTTGGGTAGGTCCAGTAGCAACGGAGATTGAGCTTTTAAGTGTCTGTATCTCATAGGCAGAAGGAGATGAAATTCTCCACTATAATGATAGTATTTTTCATTTGCAAAGTGCAGAAGCTGGCTTTGGGTAGCCAAACCAAATCAAACCAAACATTTCATTGAGTATCCACAAAATTTTAACTGCTGTGGATTCTTGCGCTTCTGGAAAAGTATGGCCAAGTAACAGGTAATGCGTATTATGTTCTGGTGATTAATTTTAAGCATGGTTTTCAGCACTTAAGATGAACTCTGGTGTGTGATGATAGGTCTGCACGTATGTGGTCTTATCCCAATAGCTGTTGGCCACGCCATCTTTCCACACTAGGCTATGTGTCCTGGGAAATGCAGAACACCGAGACTTGGGGCTGCTCTCCATTGTATAATGTTCTGTTCATTCAGAGTATTGGAATGGTGCGTTCTGGTTTACTCCTGGACACTACCACAGTTTTCTTGGAAACTATTTGCTGTTGCCTCCTTTGGTCTGTTGGTTTGTTTGACTTCCCAGTTTAGCCTACATTTTTGAAATTTCCAAAGGGTCTCCCATCTACGCAATGACCAGGTTTTGTTTCCAAACCTAGACAAAGTCACTGGATGCCAAAATAATGTGAAAGACTGCCCATGATTCCTCTTTCCAAATAGCTTCTTTCCAGTCTATGAACTGTGATCTGTTTCAGCAATGGAGACCTCTCCCTTTTACCTGTCCCAACTCAGTTCTCTTTCTGTGCTGAAAGAAGGGTGGGATGCTTGTCCTGTTCTTCCTTCCACCTTCCTTCTCAACAGATAAGTGATTGCCAAAGGGCAGCATGTTGGCAAGGTTTTGGGGAAAATGTTTCTTCTCCTTCCTCATCTCCTCAAAGGCCAACTGATTGGAGGGACTATTTGGCCCTTTGGTGGATTCCATTCTCTAGGCGGTTCTAAGCCTACAAGGTGACATGATGCTGTTGTAGATCTAGAATGGGAATGGCCAGTGTTTGAGGTGGCAAGGGCCTTCTGGAGGGTCACAGGAAACCATCTTAACTCATTCCAGAAGTTTAAAGATAGGAATGGTAGTAGTTTACCAGGTTTAATTTCACCAAGTTTAATTTTGTTTTTGTTTCAATTTAGAAAAAGAAAATACAGCAGAAACTCTGTCAGTTTTCTACCCTACCAAGTGCTGGTGGTACAAACTTGGGATGGTTACCTTTTATCTAGAGATTAGAGTTTCAGAGTGAGGAAGTGGCAAGAACATTGAACTGAGATTTACAAGAGGAACATGAGAGTCCCCAGCCTCTTTTTTTTCCCCATCATAACACTGTAAATGATTCATAGTATCCCTTCTATTATGGTCTTTTTCCTACAATAAGAATGAACATGCCAGAAAACATAATTTACAGCCATCTTCCAGAGATAGCTGTGAAAATGTTCAATAAATGTCTTTAATGTCTTTCTGTGTCTTCCTGAAAGCATACAAATCTCATCATTTAGTATTATCAGGGTCCAGGGATACATTTTGTAAAGAAAAAATTCGCTAGAAACAAAGGTGATTAGCAGGAAGTAGGGAGCAAGGATGAGGAGAAGTTTGAAACAATGGTCTCTCTCCTGGGTGGCCAACTGGATTTTCACCAATGTTTTTGTGAGATTAAGTTTATTATTTTAAAGAAACATTATTGAACCTGTGTACATTTATGTTACATATCCTGAGTACCGTGAGATAGAATTCCTGAAAAAACAAGAAAGTGATTCTGTAAAATAAGACTGCATCTCTTGTTTTCATGGATGGTAGACATTTTATTACATACCTTGCAAGTGTTTACTGAACATTGAAATCTGCTCATGCCAAAATAAGGCTGCTGTGGTCCTGCTTTTTATATCAGTAGAATGCAATTGTGTTTCATTGACTATCTTCCAAGAAAGTGAGACTGAAAAACAATAAGGATGAGATGAAGATGGAAGAATAAGCTGCAAAACCTTTGTATCCTTAAATATAATCCCCAAATGCTGGAAGTTTTTTTGGTCCATCACCTGCTCTTGGTCTCTACTGCACCATGGGATCAATTGTATAATTTAGTTTAGAAGGCTGTACTCACTCTAAAGCAATGTATGTATTAAATAGTGACAGTAATTGTCTTGCTTGGTGTAAGCAAGTGAATGTTTGAGCATTCTAATATAATCCACTAGTGCTCTGTGTTAAGCATGCATTTTTGGTACTGTTGCCCCTGTCTTGAAGGTGTTAAGTTTTTATATGTCTTATCTTGTTGTCCTTGGTATATTCTTCCCCCTTGTGCATATGGTTATGTGCATAATTTGGATGCCTGAAGATCGCAGTCGAAGTGCCAGTGCTCCCATCTTAGGTATAGTAGAACATGCATGCATTTACCTGTGCCATGTTTTAAGCACCACTAATGCTGAGCCATCAGTCATGCACGGCACCTGACAAAGACTTCTCCTAGAATGTTCATCCATCATCTTGTCATTTAACTCTCTCATACAGTTTACTAATAGCTTGCTTTATTTTTAGTCCTTGTCACCTGGACAGATTGGAAATAGAATCAATGAAGTTATGGGTATCAACACTACTAAAGTAAAATCTCCTTCGAATCAAATCTGATTCCTGATGACTCAAGGATGAAGTCATATGGCATTACAATTGCCTTCTTTTGGATTTTTTTTTTGGGGGGGGGCTTTCCTGTCTAGCCTATAGTCCTGGTATTCCTCATGGTCTTCAGTCTAGGTCCTAATCATGACCTTGCTTAGTTTCAAAACTTGGAGAAGTCAACCAGGTGTTACCACTGCTACCAACATCAATATGCTAGTTAAGCCAACTCACAAGCTTATCTCCCCCAAACAGGCTGTTCTTATCTTAAAGTGGGCTATTCAGATTCAGTTTCTAATTCAGAGTACTTCCAGGGAGGTGAGAATAGCATTTCAGAGGTCAGGATATTCTGACTTCACACCATTCTGCGCAAATCTGTAAAGGCAAAGGGTTATTGTGTTTTTAGATGCAGTATTCATATAACAGGGGCAAAATGTATTTCTGGCAGAGGCCATCCTTGGCATAATCAGTCGCTTCATGAGTTCATCTTCTATTGTGCCCCTAAGAACTATTTCCATGTGAGGCAATCTAAGTGGGAAAAGAAGAATTGGAATGACCTTTCAGCTAATTAGTCCAAGCAACAGTCTTGCTGTGTATATATATTACCCAGGCTAGAACATATTGATATTGATAACATTTTTATGCTGCTGGTTATATCTTTACACTGTTCTGTTGCTGATAGAGAATTCAGTCTAGCTTATATCAGGGGAAGAATTCACTCTGTTGCCCTTCACACTTAGTTTCTTAGGTACCATTTTTAGTACAAGTAGATTAAACTGGATGAAGATTCTGAGATAGTTCAAGGATCAACATTTGAATTACATCTTGCCCTAAAAAGAATAAATATTTGCTTGCTTCCTTTCCAAGCTAACCATTGATGCTTTTGGCTGTTCTTGAAATATCTGAATGTGTTTTCTGATTAGACTCTTGCATGTGTAGTTGTGAACAATTCACTTGGCATGTTTGTGAATTGTCTTGTACAAAGTGTCCTTTCTGTGTTGTGGGGCAGGCAAATGCCTATTGAAGTCATTACAAATGTTTGACCAAGCTGTTTCTTTACTTAGCAGTGGTGTATATTGGAGGTGCAAAGTATTTCCAACATTTTGCATGCCTCTAACATAGATTGTATAGAGCGACAGTGTTTGATAAGAAAGAAAAGGCAGGCAGGCAGGCAAGCAAGCAAATAATATAACGCTCATATATTCTGGAAAAGGAAGATACTGTCATCTGATCATTTTGCTTCAACCAATTACCTAAAATCGCACATTGTGACCAAAATTGTAGATATGGGAAGAAAAAGTAACCCTTACAAGTCTTAGTTTGTTTATATCACAGTGATGGTTCAAAATATGTAGAAGATAGATAGTTGCAAAAAAAGGCCTCTAATCTTTTGACACCATGTAGAGTTAAGCAGTTGATTTGAAGACAGAGACCATTCAGGGACTACGTATGTTAACCTTTTCTTGGTATTTCTGGGCATTCATCAAAGATACGATCATCGTCAACACAATGAATAATGAGCTATGTACATTCTTACCCCAAGTTTGCTATGAGCTGTATTTACTATGTGCATTTATAATAAAAGGGAATTGGAGAAAGGTGAGACATAATACAGAGAATCTGACATAAGGCTTTTAAACTTGAATTGTTAATTGATCATTTAAAAGGAAGACACAGTAAACTTCTTTCTCCTTTACGTTTCACTTTGTATGACTGAACTGGCCTTTAATAAAGATTATCTCTCATATTAAGGAAAGACACTTAACGTAAGAGTTATGAAGTTATACTAATTGAGTTTGCTTTTATTTAATAGCAGAGACTGAGAAAGAATCAGCCGATCACCTAGATCTGGCTGGCTTTCCATGCCAACCAAAAGGCGCAGAAGGTGGACCTCTGACTCCACCTTCTCCTGACTCTAAGAAGAAAACGAGAGGAATCAAAAAGTTGTTTGGCAGGTAATTAGGCTATAATTCTACAAAACTTGATAATGGATGGAGTTAATCAGGCTTTTCTTTCATATACTGCTATGGGCTCTGGGGTTAAGAAATGGTGAATGGGTAAGTGTATTACAATATGTTCTTAGCTTCCATTCTTGGCTTCAGTTTCTTGGCCACCTCTCAACTGCAATCAATATTCTATCAGTTATCATCAGGAACTCAGTAATTGCTTTTGCTTTAAATGTTAAGGTGTATTTACATTTAAAGCAAAGTATAGTAGAAAACAAATCACTCTCAAATCTGTAACAAAAATATCAGCAAGAGAACAATACATTAGGAAAGTTGGTATAATCTGAAAATGGTAACCTCGTTTGTTCAGGGGGAATTTTTCAATATTGCTAAATATATACTTCACATTAAGCTCCACACCTTTTCACTATGTAGATATGTCTGTGTAGTTTTCTTGGGAACAATATGGAAGTGATTTCTTATTGCCTTTCTCTGAGATGTTTTCAGATTTTCTGGTGATCTTCCAACTAAATACCAACCAGGTCTGATTCTGCTATGCTTTATGAGGTTAGCCAAAATTGGCTAGGTGTTGCTAATTATACCTTCTCCCCAACCTCGTAATTCCTCTCATTCTTCAAATTTGGATTTTTTTAGACTAAGAAGAAGCCAGTCTACCACATTTAATCCTGATGATATGACAGAAACAGAGTTCAAAAGAGGAGGGACAAGAGCAACAGCAGGTCCAAGACTAGGCTGGTCAAGAGATCTTGGGCAATCTAAGTAAGACAGAAGCATAGAAATAACATAGAAATGTTTTTTCCCCCTTTTTTCCCTCCCTATTATGCATGAATGCAGCTGGGTGAGTTGGATTGTGTATGTAAAATGAAGTGATTTTATAGGTTGCTGATAAAAAGTTGTGGTATTTAGAGTTAGGGCATTATTAGGACAAAGGATATGATAATTATAACCATTAAGTTAAAAGTATAACTAGAATAGCTTGGGGGGGTCTGTGTGCAAAACACAAACACTTCAAACACTGGGTTTCCGGGGATGATTGGAACATTGTGAACTATTTTCTGTTCCAGAAAATTTAATTCTAGGCAGTCACTTCTGGGGGATTCTTGAATGTCCCATGCCTGGAAGGTAGTCTCTGTAAATGACTAATTTCAGCAGAATCATCTTTTCTGAATCTGCTAGATGTGCAGGAGGTTCTAGATTTTTTTCCAAAACGCATTTGCAACAATTCAGAGCCTAATGTAGAGGCACTAATGGAATATGCCCCTTACCATGTCGATCTGCTGACTTATCTCCAAACGTTTTTCAAGAGCTTTTTTATGTGGTCAGTCTAAATAAACGAAAAGAATATAATTAGAACCCAACCTAATCTCTAAAACACAATCTAGAGTGCCATTATGGAATAGGAGCTGTTTCTAGTTGTTCCTTTGTAGTCCTTTTCATTGGTAACGCCTGTGGTAAGAAGCTAAATGTCTACATTAATCTCATCTGTGGCCCAATACACATTCTTTTGCCTGATTCATATGCTTTTTATTTGCAAATGTTTCTGATGCATTAAGTAGGAGGAAATAGTGACATAAAAACCAGACATAGTTAAACCACCTAATGCATATGATAAGACCCTACTAGCAACATACAACCGAGGAAACTAGATTCACAGAATCTCATTAATCATGTTCATGGAAAAGAAAAAGGGTTAGATTACAGAATCTTAAAAACTAGATAAATATATTCCAATCTTCATTTAGTGAGTAGATTGAGGCAGGATCTCTGATCCTTTTTCTCACAGATTCTCTAATTTTATTATAAAGGCATTCTTGGAGTCTGAGAAAGAAAAGAATGGTTTTCAAAACATGACAGATGAGGACCAGATAGACATTTCAGCCTCATCTTTTAAGCAAGGTGTTAGTCCATCAATTAGGGAGTCTGTGAGAAAAAGGATCATGGTACCTCCAGATCTGCCAGTAATATTAGTATTTTAGGAAATAATGAGTTTTATCATAATATGCTCTTTAGTCATTAAGGTTTTCTGTACAGTGAAAGTTGCAGTGTGAAGCTGTTATCTGCTGTTGAATGTCTCCATCATTTCTGCTTGTTTCTCTAACCCAATGTTTCTCAACCTTAGCAAGTTTAAGAGGTGTGGACTTCACCTCCATCGTCCTTCACGATCAACATCTCATCACTCTATTTTGCTCCATTGTTTGCTCCATCAGCTTTGATCACCTATTGCAGTGTTTCTCAAGCTTGGCAACTTTAAGATGTGTGGACTTCAACTCCCAGAGTTGGTGGCTGGGAAATTCTGGGAGTTGAAGTCCACACATCTCAAAGTTGCTAAGGTTGAGAAACAATGCTCTAACCCAAGTTAGGAGGATGTTCTTCAGATGCAGTCACCAAATATTTGGCTGGGTTTCCTGGGTGGAGCTGGTGGGGATGTACTCTGGGACAACATCTGGAAGATGCACCATTTGCATGTCTCAAAGAACATAAGTATCCAATGTTGAAATACCGATAATGTTCTAATTGTTGTTGTTATTTAGCGATTTGGACATGCCGTTTGCCAAGTGGACTAAAGAGCAAGTTTGTAACTGGCTGCAGGAGCAGGGCCTGGGTTTTTATATCAGTAATGGAAAACACTGGATACTATCTGGCCAGACACTCTTGCAAGCATCCCAGACTGATTTGGAGAAGGTAATGAACTTACTTCCGAGACGTTTCTTCCATACGCAGTTGACCGAGAGTTGTAATGAAATGTGACTAAGTAACAGTTGATCTACTAGCAGGACTCATGTTTGCTAACGAAGGCTGCAATCTTGGGTCATTGAGAAGATCTAAAGGCTTTCTTCCTCTCTGGATGTATTAGCTGCAGGATAACATAGCTGTGTACTTTTCAATTTTAAGGGGCTGCAGCCTTTTCTACAGAGAGATGGAAAAATATTATTTGCTAATGCTATTAATTGAAAGAATTTAGCCCTGGCTTTTTTAAATGCAGAGAACACTTTCAGTCAACCTGAATGATGGTATTTATTTTGTAAACTTTCCCCAAAATACAGCATTGATGGCGTCCTTGAATGTATTAAAACAATCTCTCTGACTTTGCTGTTTCTTTTATGTGACCTTGCATGAGGATCTAAGTTCAGAAGAGGAAATCTGTCCTTATCCTCTTAGCTGACAAGTTGATTGTGATCTCCAACAAGGTCATAGAATTGTGTTCAATTGCTCCTGCTTCCTGCTGTGTTATATTATAGTTTTTGTTGCTCAGTATGCCTTGTCCCAATATGGTTCAGAGTTTGCATTGGTATTAATTTTTGCATGTAAATGAAGAATAATCTGATCTGTAGTACACTGCCCATAATAGAGAACAAATCCATACATTTCACATTTGGTTTATTTATTTATTTTGCTTCTGGAGCAGCTGACACACTTGCCTCTTTTCATTTTGAACTGTTTATTGCTCTCTACCGTGCCTCATAGAGTTTGCTTAATTGCAAAGGAGAGCAAAAAAATATCCACTCCCTGATAACATGGAACTGGAGTGCGAATAGACTCCAACAGCTATATAATAAAGGAAAGAATCTCTGAATCAAGCATTTAAGCAATTGAAATTTCCTATTTATAAATCTGTTTCAGAAGGTTGCCATCGTCTGCATTTATACTAAGCCTTGAACAGAAAGATAAATATTTATAAAAGGACCTATTTTCTGTACAATTTATAGGAACTTGGAATAAAGCATCCGCTACATCGGAAAAAAATTCAACTTGCACTTCAGGCATTAGGTTCAGAAGAAGAAAACAATTACGGAAAGTTGGACTACAATTGGGTTACAAGTATGTTTTCGGCCCACCCCTCCTTTTTTTTTTTTTTTTTAAATTTTCCCCTTCTGCTGTGGTTTCCTAGTTTTGGTCAGGATTCCATAGATGTAGCCACCTCATACTATCACAGGAAAATTTTTGTGTATTGAAAATCACATTGGGATTGTTGTTATTATGGAAAAGGATGTTAGTAATTGCTGCTGCAGAGTCAGCCGGAAACCTTGTTCTAAACCTTTTTAGTAAAGAGGAAGTGTATTCTCTATTTGCCGCCAGTAAAATAGAGGAGATGTGGATTGGATTTCCAGGTGTGGACTAGATTGTCCAGTGTTCCTTCTGAAGATTAAGGATAGCCCCTTTCAGTATTTTTTGACCTGTAGGTCACAAGCGCCCAGCTTTATTCCAAGCATCTTCACACTATGCAAATTAAGGTCTCTGATGCAGAGACTACCTTGGAAATCAACATACAATTGCATTCCTCCAACTAGGAAGTATATGCAGTGTACTGACACACACTCAAGACAGGTACGAATGTAAGAAAGAAAGGTTATTGGTTACTGAGTTAGCATAAGGTGTATAATAAAATGAATAGGCTCGAATTCATGGACTATTTTATAGTTTTATAGTTTTTTATTTGTAATTGTTTTTATGTATTTATTCTTTTTAATTGTTGAACGCCGCCCAGAGTCACTTTGTGGGAGATGGGTGGCTATATAAATACAATATAGATAGATATAGATATAGATATAGATATAGATATAGATATAGATATATTTGCATGAATAGGGAGTTAAAGTTCGGTTGCTGAATATCATAAGGGGAGTATGTGATGGAAGTGAATCAGATGGGAGAAAAAATGGGAGCCTTAGTGAATGGTTCAACATTTATTAGGCAATAAAACAAGGAGAGCCAGTTTGGTGTTGTGGTTAAGGCACCAGGCTAGAAATTGGGAGACCGTGAGTTCTAGTCCCACTTTAGGCACAAAGCCAGCCTGGTGGCCTTGGGCCAGTCACTCCCTCTCAGCCCCAGAAAGAAGGCAAGGACAAACCACTTCCAAAATCTCACCAAGAAAACTGCAGGGACTTGTCCAGGCAGTCATCAGGAGTCAACACTGACTCAAAGTCACAAAAAAACCAACAACAAAAAAAACCCCCAAAGAAACCCAAGGAGGTTCAACATTTAGCAGCCATAAAAACAGGATGGGTAATGGTCCCTTGGTTGTTAATGCATCTGTGGGTAACTACATGAGGAACGCTTGTGTTGATGGTAGAAATGTGTTGGTTGGGGACATGAATGTACATACACTTTTGGATGCAGACAATGCTGTGTCGTTGTTATAGTGAAGTGGAAGCTGTCGTTCAGCACAAATGTGCATTTCATACATGGAGCCACAGAACTGAGTAACAGCAATCAAGGTTCTTCACTATAGTTAGGGCAGTGTTGTCCAAACTTGGCCACTTTAAGATGAGTGGACTTCAACTCCCAGAATTCTCCAGCCAGCATGGCT